GCGTCACTTCCGGCGCGCCGAGCCTCGTCTTCGGTTGGCGGCCAGTTCCTGTGTCGGACTCCTGGCGCAGACCCCGCGGCCGCTGCTCTGGGTGAGGGGGCAGCTCGGGAGGCGCCGGCGGCGGTGAGAACGCGGCGAGGACCCTTCAGGCCCGACCCGGGTCCCCGAGAGGTGAGGGCGGAGCAAGGCCGGCCTGGGGCGGGGAGGGTGCGGCCCGAGCACAGCCGGCCGGCCGGAGGGCTCTGACTTTAGAGGAAACTGAGGCCCGGGAAGGGGGCGGGTCACCCCGGGAGTGAGCGTCAGAGCTGGGATTCGAACTGTGACCTTCCCCGTCAAGAACGTCAGACGGGGGAGGGAGCCTGGAAGAGGGGATGGCAGAGGTGGGAGGGACCTGGGAACCCGAGTCTAGACTTCGTGCCGTGATGATCTGCAGTCAGGCTGGAATCGTTTCTGCATGTGACCTTAGAATCACGACACGGATGTCGGGGCTGGAAAGAAGATAGGCAGTTGTGCAGTGGAACCAGCGCTGGGCTTGGAGCCATTCTTACCGTTTTCAAGCTGGAAGAAATCTTAGAACGCCTTTTTTTGTTGTTGAGGCAATCGGGGTTAAGTGACTTGCCCAGGGTCACACAGCTAGTGAGTATCTGAGGTGGAATTTGAACTCGGGTCCTCCTGATTCCAAGGCTGGTGCTCTATCCACAGCACCACCCAGCTGCCGTAGAATACATTTTTTTTTTAAAGGCATTTGGGGTTAAGTGACTTGCCCAGCGTCACACAGGTAGTAAGTGTCAAGCGTTTGGTCTGAGGCCGCATTTGAACTCGGGTCCTCCTGACTTCAGGGCCGGCGCTGTGTCCGCTGTGCCACCTAGCTGCCCCCCAGAACACTTTTAGAACACGTCTAACACTCTCATTTTACAGAGGAAGAAACTAAGATCAGAAAGGCTAAGTTACCTCTGTAGTTACACTTTTGGTAAATGTCGGCGTCAGAAGACTCCCCACGTTAGATCCTCTGTTAGACATATGTGAAAATTTGGGTAATAGCAAAATTTTCTAAACTGTTTAGTAGCGTTTCATTGGGGGCTTTCTTTGAATCGCACGTTCTTAAAAGCTGGAATGAGCTACCCCACGCCAAACAGATGAAAGCAATTGAAGATTTCTCAAGAACCTCTGTTACCTCTTGAGTCTTGCTTCTGCTGTTTATGCTTTGTTGGCCTCAGGCACGTCTCTTCCTTCTGGAAGCCTCAGTGTCCTCCTTTGCAGAATGAGTGACGAACTTGTAGTGCCTTCTAAGATTATTTAGTTTTCTTTCCCCTAAATCCAGTGCTTTCCACCACTATACTACACTGCCCTCTTTTAAGATGTTTCCCTTCCCCAGTTCCTTTAGCTGAACCTTGTTTTTTGTTGTGGTTTCAGAAGTGCCTCCTGTTTTGTTTGTTGACTGTTAGTGGCTTTTCAAAACAGCAAACTCATGTGCCTCCAATTTATTGAGGTCCTAAAGTGACATATTTGATTATCTGGGTAGAAAGGAGGCATGATTGATGTCTTCAAATATTTAAAGTTCTCTTACAGGGGAAGAGAGATCACACTTAATTTTTCTTAGTCCTTGAGGGCAGAACTATTTCCAATGAATGGAAGTTACAAAAAAAAGCAGATTTCAGCTTGACATAGGGAAGAACTTCCTACTAATTAGAACTGTTTGACATTAGAGTTAATTGTTGTGGGAGGTCAGTAGTTTTGTATCGAATATTTCTTCAAGGGCAGCCAGATAGTCATTTGTTGGAGGCTCTGTAGACAGGATTCAGGCTTAACATTTGTCATGTGATTTTGCACTTTTCATCCCTTTCTTCCTCTCTCTACCAGGGTTGCTACCATGTCGCTGTCTCATCTCTATCGAGAGGGCGAAGGAGCCATTGATGAGGAAGAAGATGAGATGGAGAACTTTGAGATCACGGACTGGGACCTCCAGAACGAATTCAATCCGAACCGGCAGCGTCATTGGCAAACGAAGGAGGAGGCCACATACGGAGTGTGGGCTGAGCGCGACCTTGAAGATGAGCGGCCCAGCTTTGGAGGCAAACGGTACTGGGATTTTACTGTACAGGGCTGGCTGCTTCTGGGTGCCGCCGTGAGGGAATTAGATGTAGCCAAGTGTACTTCTCTTCTGATTCAAAAGCATAAGTGTTACCTCTGGGCATTGAGTTTTTCTTTCAGGAGAGAATGTATTGTGTCAATTGAGGTCAGCCTTTCAGCTCTGGGCAGGTCATTATCCCTAATGTATAAATTATTGTCCTTGGCCAGTGAGCTCCACTGATTAGAGCATGTTGATGTTGAAGTAGAGACTTCATATGGACTCAGACCTACAGCCATAGATTATGAATCTATGAGTAGGTACGTAGACCATTCCAACTAGACAGGTCCTTAGAGACCCACACAAAGTACCATCTCACAGCTCCCGATCAGCATTCAGTCAGTCATTCAGCTTCTGTTAGGGACCAGCTATTCAAGGAATTGTGTTCGGTGCTGGAGATGCCAAGACAAGTGGCAGGGGGGAACATTTCTTCCCTTAGGGAACGTACATTCTGTGGGGCAATACAGTGCGTACATAACAGATGAAGAAGTATCATTTGAGGAAGGGGAGAGGGTATTAACTAGCTTTCTCACTGATGTGTGTGGTTAATTATGAAGGGCAGCAAGGTGAGGGTTTGGAGAATCACTTCAAGAGGGCTAAGCGTTCTGGCAGCAAGTCAGAAATGACATTTTCATGCACGAGAGGTGACATATGCTTTGCTGTGGGTTTGGTGACATAGACTTTTATATTAGTTGATTGACACATCCCATTCTGTCATGTCACATGACTTTTAGTTTGTTTCATTTTTATGATTTTCCTAGGTTCTCTTGACTGCCCAAAGCAATTATATTTATTCAGTAAGGAACTGAGATTAAATGACACTTGCTAAAGCATCCCTGAAGTTGGCTATTTTTAAATCACTATCTTATTTTTATGGCATTAATTTCTTATGCCCTTGAATTTTCATGGTATTAATTTTGTGGACATGCACTTTTCCAGCATTTTGTTTCACCAAGTGGTTAAACACATAATCTATTATTAGCATGATCATTTCCCCATATGATTCGTTAGATATGGCTCTGCTTTCTTTGTTGGTGGTTTTGTTCTAGAAGATTCTTTTCATTCAGACATGTGGTGGTTTTTTTCTGAGTGGAGCAGTAGCCAGTGGAATGACTTGGTAAAGTGGAATGTTTAGTAAAGAAGATGAAATGAACACAAATTCTTTGAATCTTTGATTCTTCTAATTAAAAGTATTATTCACGAGGCTTGCATTTGAATCTGGGACAGAGACTTAGACCTCTTTGAACTAAGCTGTGTTCGTTGTGCTTCAGATGTCTGTTTTACTAGACTACAGCTGTCAGAGTCACATTTGATATTGCTTGGATTTAAATCAGTTAATCATCTTTTAAATGAATCCTTTGAAATCTAACGTGTCGCATTATGTTGGCCCATTTCTGCGCAGCCTTTCCTCATCTGTGATAGCAATGGCACCTGGCAGCTGAAGAGGCTTCTCTGAGAGCTGTCTTTACAATCTCTTCTTTTGGGGTGTGTTTGCAGCTCCCGAGACTTCTCTGCTCCCGTGAATTTCATTAGTGCTGGACTGAAGAAAGCTGCCGAGGAAGCCGATGAGGAGGATTCAGATGAGGAGGAGAAGCCTGTGAAGCAGGAGAACTTCCCTAAGGATTTTGGACCAAAGAAGTTAAAAACAGTAAGGTTTTGCCAGAGAGTTGGGAAGGTGCTCCCAGCCTCAGGGGTCCGTGCACATTGCACAGCTTAGAGCTAAGAGCCCTGCGGCCCAGGCTGCCAGGTTACCCAGGTGCTTGTCATCAATCCTGGAGGGAAGAGGGGGTTGGGATAAAGATGCACCAGGTTTTGTTCCTATTCCTTTCAGTTTGTGGAGTTTTAAAGAATTCAACCACATTTTCCCCCAGTTCTCCATTATATACTGCAAATAGATTTTTGGTTCAAGCAGAACTTGTTGGAATGTTCAGTCACTGCTAGACCTCCTTTCACTTTTTTATTATGCTCGTTATTCTCTCATCAGGGTGGCAATTTTAAACCTAGCCAGAAAGGATTCGTAGGTGGAGCCAAATCTTTCACAGACTTCGGCAGCTGGGAGAGGCACACCAAAGGAATAGGACAGAAGCTTTTGCAGAAGATGGGTTATGTCCCAGGAAAGGGCCTTGGGAAGAATGCACAAGGTATGAGATAAGTCAAGTGGGGTGTGTATTTGGAAATCAGTGGCTTTTTCTTTCACTTTTTAATTTTTACTAGGGTGTGGCATTGAAGCATGCTTGAAAATTTAGACTCTAGAAAGAGAACTAGGTGAATGTATTTATAGAATATGTATTATGACTTTGTTCATTTGGAATAAGGCCAGGAGAGAAACCTATCTGTATTATGGAAATCCTGGATTGCAGATTTTAAAAAAAGACACTTTGATTACTTTCAACTATCGACTGTATAAAAAATCAGATTGTTACTGCATTGTTGTTGTTCAGTCATTTCCCAGTTGTATCCTACTCTCCATGACCCCATTTGGGGTTTTCTTGGCAGAGATAGTGGAGTGGTTTGCCATTTCCTCCTCAGCTCTGTTTACAGAGGAGGAAATTGAGGCAAACAGGGTGAAGTGACTTGCCCAGGGTCACACAGCTGGTAAGTGTACGAGGCCGGATTTGTACCCATGTCTTCCTGACTCCGGGCCTGATGCTCTGTCCCCTGCATCACCTAGCTCCCCCCATTGCTGGGTACTCATGAGTAAAACGAAGTCAATGAAAAATTTTCTTCATTGTAATTACAATGAACTGTGGTAAAAATCTTTTTTGACTGGGTCCTGATTTGTGACTTTGTCAGTGTGGGGATCTCCAAGAGGGAAATGCCTTCCCCACGTGTGTATTCACAATTTAGGTTTATCGTACAATCGCCTTGTGCACCGAGAGCTTCTGCAGCTTGCCCACAATTCCCCAGTGTCAGAGGCAGCACTGGAACCCAGGGCTTGCAGACCCCAAGGCCAGCCTGTAGGCCACTGCTCTGGGCTGCCTGGATTATTCTCCATGAGCAATTACAGGGGGCATTATCAACATGAAAGTACGCTGTCTGGGCCAGAGGTTTGGTTGTGTTTTTTTTTTTAAAGTCTAGTACATATTCTGTCTGAATTATTGCAAATTCTGAATTAGGCCACATGTGGGAAGTTTTAGAATTGACTGTAACAAAAGTTGCTGTAGCAGCTGATATTTTCCCACTGTTAATTCATATGAAAATTCCTTTCTTTACAGAGGTTTCTTAGCAATTCAGTAGACGTTCATTAAACACCTTCTTTTACCAGTGTACTGTACTGTGTACTGGGGATACAGAGGTGGGAATCACCAAAGTGTCTGCCTTCAGGGAGCTTACCGTCTAGTTGGAGGAGAAGCTTAAATGCAAGTTAGGCTGTGATTGGTGAAACAAAGAGAGATGAGACCTTGAGGAGGGGAGATGACACTTCTAGATGAGGAAGGTCAGGGCTTTGTTATCTCGTGGGTATCTCCTTCCTGTGTCTGAACTTGAAAAAACTATTTTTATCCAAGGTTGTTGTGGTAAAAGTGTTTTGTTTTGTTTTTTTAACTGAACTGTTGCATCATTGGTATAGGGAGCTCGAGGTAGCACAGTCAGGAAGACCTGAGTTCAAATCCTGCCTCAGACACTTAATAATGATGTGGGCCCTGGGCAAGTTGCTTAACCATTCTCCCAGCCTTACTTTCCTCATCTGTAAAATGGGGATCATAATCACACCTTCTTCACGAGGGTGTTGTGAGGAACAAATGAATAAAACATAGGTAAAGCTGTTTGCAGACCTTATATCACTGCTAGCTGTTGTTATCATTAGTGCCGGTTGGCAGCTTCTCTAAAACTTAGTCAGAGAGAGCTGCCTGGTGACGTGGGAGGGTGAGTGAGTTGTTGTGACTTGAGCCCAGGTCTTCCATCCCCGCTGCCACATTGCTTCCTCCACATTCTGACCCGGGGAGCCAGGAAGCCCAGGTTCTGTGGCCAACTCTCTCATTCAGCAGCTGCATGATTCGCTGTCTCCTGCTAGGTTTCAGCTTCCTCTTTGAAAAGAGAGAAGGTTGGGAGCGGCTAGGTGGCGCAGTGGATAGAGCAGCAGCCCTGGGAGTCAGGAGGACCTGAGTTCAAATCCGGCCTCAGACCAAACACTTGACACGTACTAGCTGTGTGACCATGGGCAAGTCACTTAACCCCAATTGCCTCACTAAAAAAAAAAAAAAAAAAGAGAAGGTCCCTTCCAGCTTCAGCATTCTGATGAGTCTGAATCACTGCCGTTGCCCTGCCACCGCTCACTGCCTGGAGTAGCTTGTTGAGTTGTGTAGATGTGGACCGCTATTGTGTTTCTCCTCCTCCTCCCTTCCCCCGGTCCTTCTTCTCCTTCTTCCTCTCCTCTTCCTTCCACCCTCCTTCCTCTTTCCTTTCTGCTTCCCCCCCTTCCTCCTCTTCTTTCTTCTTCACAATTGGGGTTAAGTGACTTGCCTATGGTCACACAGCTAGTAAGTGTCTGAGGGCGGATTTGAACTCAGGTCCTCCTGACTCCAAGGCCGGTGCTGTATCCACAGAGTCACCTAGCTGCCCCTGTTTCTTCTTTAAAGGGCTTCAGGATTTGGCATTCATGAATGAGTGGGGCCCTTTCCGAGCAATGTCACTAAGCGGACAATCTGTGTGCATTTTGGCAGGTATCATTAATCCAATCGAAGCCAAACAGAGAAAAGGCAAGGGTGCCGTCGGCGCCTATGGCTCAGAACGGACCACTCAGTCAGTGCAGGATTTCCCTGCGGTTGACTCAGAAGAAGAGGCCGAGGAGGTAGGTTGGAAGGGCCGGCCTGCCCAGAGGTGGGAGGGAGGTGGCTGGCCCTTGTGTGGAGCTGGCGGGGGCTGCTTGGGGGCCCCACCTGTTTTTGCTCTTTATCTGCTGCGCCGCCACGGAAGGGGACCCTATATTACCCTGGTTCTGTGGGTTCAGTCATTAGATAGTAAAGCCTTTGGCTTCTCCTGCTGAACAGTGAGCAAGCCTTGATTGTTAACAGAATCTTGGATTGCCAGGATTTGTCTCCAAACTGTCTTTGTCTTGTTTCCTGTCTAAAGAAGCTGTCAACATAACATGCTGCTTATGATTCTTGTTGGGTTTGATGGCATGTGATATACAAGCTGCTGGGTGAGGGAGAGTTCTGCTACTGTGGGCGTTGGCTGCCAGCATTTCAGGTTTTTTTTTTTTTTTTTTTTTTTTTTGGATATAGTAGGTCAGGGAGCGTTACCAATGGAGGCTGAATCTCTTCTGGCAGACTCTGATGATAAATATCATGTTATGAATCAGTCTTTTCCTTTTCTGGATTGACCTAATCACTTTTCTCAGGAGTTCCAGAAGGAGCTCAGCCAGTGGCGGAAAGATCCCAGCGGGGGCAAGAAGAAACCAAAATACTCCTATAAGACAGTTGAAGAATTGAAGGCAAAAGGCAGAATTGGCAAGAAACTCTCTGCCCCCCAGAAGGAGCTTTCCCAGGTTAAGGTATAGTGATTTTGGAAACTTGACACCGTCCTGAGATTGTTTAGAATTAACTCTGTGTTTCCTTGTGGGGGTTTAGCCTAGAGAACAGCAGATTGGGGTGGGGTATGAGAGCTGCCTTCAAGAGTCTGCCCCTTGGAAGCGGGATGAGCCTTGTTCTGTGGGCTCTGCAGGCAGCACGAGGAGATTGAGTAGAGCTATCCATTAGGTGGGTGCAGGGACAGATTGCCTCATCCCCTGTTAGTGATGTGGTTAGGATTCCAGGCGGTCTCCAGGGACCTTATTCACCCTGAAATTCTACAATTCAACAATCAATAGATTTGTGCACACAGCAGTGACAATTCAGAATCCAAGCTGAAATTGTAGATTTTTATTTAACAAAGAAAACAGGTAACATGTCCTGTTTTAAAAATGGAAAACTGGTTATTTCACTGGAAGGAGTCTTGAATTTGGAGTGTGTTGCTTCTGGAGAAGGACAGGATAGTGGAAAAATTTCCCGGCGTGCCTGACTCTAGGCCTGGCCCCAGCAGGTTCTCTCTGCCCCAGTTCTCGGGGGGGTGTCCAGGGGCTAGGGGGCTATGGCTGAGGCATCCTCCGGGGCTTCACAGAGGTCATGTGGGTGTTAGTAGGACATGGATTGCCGGAGAGTCCTGCTAGTTTAGCTGTATGGTTGAATAACTTTGACTGGTGCCATGGTCTTGGCTGGGGTCTTTGCTGGACTTCACACCAGAAGCCAGACCTCGTATCTCTAACCCATCACCAAGCAGGTCACCTCCCTTCTCCACAGCTGGCGCCTCATATGTCCAGTGAGGGGTTGGCCCTGGTTCCCTCCAGTCCTAAATCTGAGACATGATGACTCATGTTTACATATTACGGGAGGCATGGTCCAAATGGGACCCTCTCCATTTCACATAGGAAGACACTGAAGGTCCTAGGTGTGAAATGGCTGAGCCAGCCAGGATTGGCACCCAGGTCTCCTGCTTTCTGGTCCGATGGTCTTTCCAGTATCCACCCCCGTCCCCGTCAGTAGCTGTCCTCTCTGTGCCTCAGACAGCGTTTGGGTGACAAGCTCCTGAGGCAGCGGGGGCATGGAGCTGTTGTCCTACCCTTCCTCTCCGGGTAACCCCGTGCTTTCTTCCTGTGGCCTGCCAGGTGATTGACATGACAGGCCGGGAGCAGAAGGTGTATTACAGCTACAGCCAGATCAGCCACAAGCACAACATCCCTGAGGACGGGGTCCAGCAGCAGCAGCTACCACTGCCCGGCAAAGACGCCAAGCTGCAGGCCTTTGCCCTGCCCGAGCTGGAGCACAACCTCCAGCTGCTCATCGACATCACGGAGCAGGAGATCATCCAGAATGACCGGCAGCTGCAGTATGAGAGAGACATGGTCGTCAACCTGACCCACGAGCTGGAGAAGATGTCCGAGGTGCTGTCCCACGAGGAGACGGTGATCACCAACCTCAGTAAGGTCCTGGAGATGGTGGAGGAGTGTGAGCGGAGGATGCAGCCCGACTGCAGCGATCCGCTCACGCTGGATGAGTGTGCCAAGATATTTGAGACTCTGCAGGACAAGTACTACGAGGAGTACCGCATGTCTGACCGCGTGGACCTGGCCGTGGCTATCGTCTACCCGCTCATGAAGGATTACTTCAAGGACTGGGATCCCCTGAAGGTCAGTGCTGCCCGAGGCAGAGGACTCGGAGGCTTCAGCAGCTTTGGGGGCCCCTGCTGGGGACGGGGTTTTAGTTGATGATGTCCCGATTTCTCAGAAGTGGCCGTGTGTGTGTTTGTGTTCAGGACTGCACTTACGGCACTGGCATCATCGCCAAGTGGAAGAGCCTTTTGGAGAACGATCAGATCCTGTCTCACGGGGGCCAAGACCTCGCAGCGGATGCTTTCCACAGGTGACGCGGGCACTGCGCCGCTTTCCTGCAGCCTCCTGGGAATGGCCAGGACTCTGAGCTCTGCATCCTTGTTCAGCTGTCCTGTGATGGGGCACCAGCTTCCCTTGCTGCTGTGCTTTTACAGATCAGAATCGGGCTGGGCATGGTGATCTCATTGCTTCCTAGAATGCTTCTTGTGTCACGGAAAGGACCCTCAACTTGTAGCCAGAAGGCTGGGCCATGGTCCTGGCTGTGCCAAACCCCTGGAGGAGTGTCTGCATTCACTGGCTTTGCTTCCTCTCGTCATCCTCAGTCCCCAGCCCTCTGCCACTTGGCTTCAGGTGTCACCACTCACCTGAAACTGCTCTCCAGTTACCAGTGATGTCTTGATCACCATACCTGTCTGTCTTCTCTCAGTGCTCCTCCTCCTCAACCTCTCTCTTGCTTTTGACCCTGTTGATCACCCTCTCCTCCTGGATCCTCTCTCCCCTCTGGGTCTGCCTCCTCCCCATCTTCTTACTGCCCTTTCAGTCAGTCCCACTACACCAGGGCTTCTTTCCCTCTGTTGTCCCATTACCCCTTTGGCAGTCTGGTAAAATCCATGGCCTGTTTCTTAAGTCAACAACAACACGTGTTCTCAGAAGAATATTTTTAAAATCACAAAATGGGAAACCTGTGGCCTCAAGGCCACAGTTTGGATTCAGTCAAAGGGCTGCACTTGAGGACCTAGAGGTCCACGTGTGGCCTCTTGGCCACAGGTTCCCCACCCCTGATCAGAACCCTCCTCTCTCTCAAACTTCCCTGTCTCTGTTGAAGATCTTGCCATTTCTACATTTCTCACATCTGGCTCCCCTCCATTACCAGAATTCTTGCCTTAGTTCACATAGTCATTATCACTTACTGTAGCGGCCTCCTCACTGGTCTTTCTCTGCATCAAGGTTTTCCCTGTGCTGGTCCATCTATGTATGGCTGCCAATGTAATGTTCCCTAAATGCAGACCTGGCCATGTGAGCCCTCCTCAGTCATCTCCAGTGGCTTCCCATTGTCTCTAAATCAAGTCGGATGGAACCCCTCTGTTTAGGTTTTAAAGCCCTCTACAGCCTGGCCCCAGCCTCATTGGGAGTGACTCCGCTTCCCGTGCTCTGGGTCCTGCCGGGCCTTTCTCTGGTTCTTCCCTGGTGACCCTCCACCTCCTGTCTTCGTGCCCTTGTTCTGGCCATCCCCTGTGCCTGGAATGCCCTCCCCTCCTCTTCCTTTAAGATGGAACTCTAGGCCATCCGCATAAATCCGCTTCTGATTCCCCAAAGGCTCGTGCCCTCTCTCCAGATCAGCTTGTGTTAACCTACTTTATATCCATTTGTATTTATTAACTTTGTATTTGTACTGTGTATCGTTTTATACGGGCTTGTCTTCCTTCAGAAGGCCAGGTGCTTGTGAGTAGGGACTATCCCATTCTTTGTATTTGTCTTCCTGACCCGGTGCCTGGCACCTAGTTGGTGCCAGGATTAAAATGAGCATTAATCTGTTGCCCTGCCAACGCCCCATCTCATGAACTGCCGTGTGCTGTGTGCATGGGAGCTGTTGGTAGTCCCTAAAGGTGAAAGGTTGCTGTTACTGATGGCCGTCTGTTTTCAGGGTGGTGGCCGTGGGCATCCTTCTAATTCCATGTAATTTACTCCCCTTGTGATTCTAGGCTCATCTGGGAAATGTGGATGCCTTTTGTTCGAAATATCGTGACTCAGTGGCAGCCAAGGAGCTGTGAGCCAATGGTGGACTTTCTGGATAGCTGGGTCCATATTATTCCCGTGTGGATCCTGGATAACATCCTGGACCAGCTCATCTTCCCCAAACTGCAGAAGGAGGTACGGTGATCAGGGGTCCACAGCGGCCTGCAGGGGAGGATTGCCAGCTCCTCGTGTCGAGAACGCCTCTCGGCAGCAGTGAGAACGCTGCCGAACACGGCTGGGGCCTCGTGGTGTGAGATCTCTCCTGTCGTTCGCCTCCTCCTGTTCTCCCTGCCCCCACCCGTCTCATGCCCTTAATGTTGCTTGTTTAGGCTGTGATGATAACCTCCTAATTGGCCTCCCTCGTGCATTCTCCCCTTTCACTCACCCCACACACACCGCGGATTCATCTTTCTAAAGCACAGTGAACATGCCACCGTTCCTTGGGGAAATTTTCTGTCACGCCGACTGCCCAACAAACACAGTTCAGAGACCTCAGCCCTGCATTCCTGGCCTTTCCAGTGTGCCTCTGGCCCCTGGGCCAATCTTCTGAGTGACCTTCTGCACCTGTCCTGCACTCTTGTACCTCCTCCTCATCTACTTGTGCTGGTCCCCGGCTTTGAATGCCCCTTCCTCATCTCCCTTCCTTGCTTCCATTTCCTCCCTCTTCCTTGAGGCTTCCCTGTCCTTGAGTAGCCCGTGGTGACCTCTCCCTCCTCTGGACTTAGAAGGCACCTGGTTAGCACTTCTGTGCCATCTGAGCTCCCTGAGACCACAGCTTACCCTCATCTACCCCTTCTAGGTCAGATCGAACTGGGTGGGGGTGGAGGAGGCAGGACAGGTAAGGAGGGCAGTAATCTCATTATCTATAACCAAGGAGGAGCAACAGCATCTTACTCATCTTTGTCTCTTCTGGCACTTGGGGCAGGGCCTTATCCTCAGCTGGACTTAGGTGGGGTGTGGAAGGACCTGTCGAAATGCCACCATTTGCCTTTTCCCCATGATCTGTCCTGTAGAATTGGCAGTGTGCTTTTTGGTATGATTGTGAGGATTGCTATGAGTACAGGGCAGAACTTTAGGCAGAGACCTTTGATGGAAGGAAAGAGCAGATTCAGGGTGGCTCCCAGCTTGCCTAGAGGTGGAGGAGCAGCCCCCCCACACGATAGGCGTGCACAGCCTTCCCTTCCTGAAGTCATGGAGAAATGACTCTTAAATACAGGGGCAGTTTCCCCCTCCAGTTAATCTGTTTTGTCTTTCTCCTTCTCTAGGTTGAAAACTGGAACCCTCTGACCGACACGGTTCCCATCCACTCATGGATACATCCCTGGCTTCCACTCATGCAGTCACGCTTGGAGCCTTTATACTCCCCGATCCGGAACAAGTTATCCAGTGCTCTGCAGAAATGGCATCCCAGTGATTCCTCGGCCAAGCTTATCCTGCAGCCCTGGAAGGATGTGTTTACCCCCGGCTCCTGGGAGGCTTTCATGGTCAAAAATATTGTGCCCAAATTAGGTGAGGAGATCTGAAGGCTGGGGCCTGGTGGGACAGCTTCTGTTCAGGGGCTCTGTCTTATGACCCACATTTTTGCTGCTTGTAATAGAGTTGATATCCTTATCAGTTTAGCTGCTTACCCGTAAAAACTGGATCGATGTCCTTTGTCCTGACACAAGGCACTTCCCAGCAAACACACACACATTTATTTCCCTGTACATTTAGCAACTCAGTCAGCTGGCCTTCAGTAAACACCTACTATGTGCTGGACGCCGTGCTAAGCGCTGGCCTTCGGTCACTCCCCTAGATTCGTTTATCAGTTGCTAGTCAGGAGTTTGGGTCCTTTGGTATTTATAGCTAATAACCATTATTGATGGTTGTCCCCGGCCCGAGATTGGCTGCCTTAGCCTGCTGACATTGTTTATGTTGTAGTAATCACTGTGTGTGTCGGTCTGGGGCTCTGGCTTCTTCCCTGTCACGCTGTATGAGCCATACGAATCTTCCGAGGTTTTCTCTATATTCTTCATATCCTTGATTCTCCCTTATGGCATAGGTATGGTCAGATGTTACATTTGGTTGCTTTAGCTTGTTTAGCCATTCCCCAGTAATTGGGTAGATATTTTGTTTGCAGCTTTTTGTATAGCAGAATCTTGTCATCTCCCCCAAGATCAGCTAGGAGCAGCTAGGAGGCCCAGGGGATAGAGGACTGGGCCTGCAGTCAGGAAAGCCTGAGTTCAAATTCTGCTACAGACACTCACGAACTGTGTGACTTTGGGCAAGTCACTTAACCTGTTTGCCTCAGTTTCCTTAGTTGTAAAATAGAGATCAGAGTAGCCCCTACCTCCCAGGGCTGTGAGGATCAGACGTGATGTTTACAAAGTGCTTGGCACATGCCTGGCAGGCATGACCTAAATGCCAGTCATTGTAATTATTTTCATTATTAATTTTCTAGGATACTACCCCTTATTCATTGGATTTTAGATTTAGAACTGGAAGGGAAATTTAACCTCATTTTACTAGTCTGGAAACTGAGGCTCCTAATGCTCCAGTGACTTGCCAGAGATAGGGCTTGACCCCAGGTGGACTTCACAACCAGTGCCTCTTCCACAGTGCTGCTGCCTCTGTGATGAGACTGCCCATAGATCAGTCATGAAGGTCTGCTTCTAACTGGTACTTTGCCCATATCCTGGAAGCTTCCTGAGGGGCATGGAGTATAGTTCCCTGCCCAATGAAAAAATGATCTCTGTTAAGTATGGAAGGCAGCAGCATCTGAAATTGGCTCCGAAGGGCTCGCCCCGAAGAGTAGCTCACTCCAACAAGCACTTTTGAACCACCTACTGTGCGCTGCACTCATAATAGCACCTGCTTTGCCTTTTTACACACCCATCACAGTTCTTAAACTTTGTGGCCTTTCCTTGCTTACTTTAAAAAAAAATCTTGAAATAGGTCATTCCTAGATTGGAAGAAAATTGGTTTAAAATCTGATGCGTCTAGAGCTCATAACTGATCTTTAAAGCAGATTTCTACTCCTAAGTCATTGGACTTTGGCCTTTTAAAGCCCTAATTCTTTTTCTCAGAGAGCCTCACAGATAAGGTCGGATTGGAGCCTTCTTAGTGTCATCCCACCATTTTTCTTTGCTTTCTCTTCCAGGGATGTGTCTTAATGAATTAATCATTAACCCTCACCAGCAGCACATGGATGCTTTTTATTGGGTGATTGACTGGGAAGGGATGATCTCTGTCTCCAGCCTAGTAGGACTCCTTGAGAAACATTTCTTTCCTAAATGGCTTCAGGTATGTTTATAGCACACTAAAGACCTAATTTTCTGCAAAAAGAAAAAGGATGTTAAAAACCTGCTCACAGGACTGAGAGTCAAGTGTCCTGGAGTGAGTAAATGTCAAATGACATTTTAATTGAAAATTTAAAAATACCCTAGTGACTGGGGGGCTGGAATAGATGCAAAATGAAATTCAGTAGTAGATACTGAAGTCACGCAGTTGACCTTTTATTTATACAGATGTGATTGGAGATGAAATGTACTGTCTGAAAGCTGTGCCTATGTCTGTGGCCATCCTGGTGATACTTTTGGTTCCTTGCTAGGTTCTCTGCTCCTGGCTCAGTAATAGTCCAAATTATGAAGAGATCACCAAATGGTACCTGGGGTGGAAGTCCATGTTCTCAGACCAGGTTTTGGCACATCCATCTATCAAGGACAAATTTAATGAAGCGCTCGATATCATGAACCGGGCTGTGTCTTCCAATGTCGGTAAGTGGATCAGCCCTCTTTTCTCCAAGGCTGGGGATAAGGGAGCATTAAGGAACCCTTCCAGCACTGCCTGAAGGTCCCCAAGCTGGACCGCCTCGTTATTCACGGCCTCCAGAGAGGAAGGAGGGCAGAGACTAGCCAGATGGGCTCTTCTTTCACCGCTCCATAGACAGGGACCCTTCCTGCTCCAAAGCTTGCTCCTGCTGTCCTGGGTCCCATCGTGGACACGTGGTTCAGAATCCTGTCTCTTGTCCCCGGCTGTGTGACCTTAGGCGAGTCTATAAAAGGGAGATGATGATACATGTGAGGATCAGAGATGATAAAAAAAAAACTGTCACGTATATAGTGCTTGGATTGCAAAGTGCTTACATACGTAATTTCATTAGGTCCTCACCACAACCCTGGGAGTAAGCACAATTGTTATATTTATTTTACAAGTGAGGAAACTGAGGCAGGGAGAGGCTAAGGGATTTGCTTCCCACTCACATGGCTAATAAGTGTCTGAGGCTGGATCAGCCTGGTGTGCTCGATTTGTGAACCTTTATGAAGTGCTGCATGTGTCTGTTATAAGTGGGTCCTGGCGGGAGCTGACTGCACAGATCTCTGAAGAGAAGCACTCTAACTCAGAATGCCCACTGAGACTTGTACCTGCCTGCTGCTTTTAAAATATATATACATTTTGAGATAGAAGGATGTGTGTGTATCCATATGTATGTGTCTGCACACATTTGATTGTGCTTTATTATTAAACAGCTTAATATTAAAGCTATTTTTGTTTCATATAAAGCCCTCTCAAGCTAATACTGGTGTTAAACAAAAGCACCATGGATCTATCTTCTTTGTAATATTAGTAACTGGCACTTAGCACGCTGGATTGCAGAGCATTGTGCTTAAGGTCACAATAAAACCTGTAGTCCTTGTTTTATAGCTGAGGAAATGGGCTCAGAGACCTGGGGGACTTGCTTCTGGTCCCCTAGCCAAGAAGGGTCAGAGATAGCCTTTGAACCCAGGTCTTTTCCACTCTGTGGTGCTGCCTGTAAGTGCCTCCAGTTTCACTTCCAGTTAGGCTGATCAGGACATGCACTCGGCCCTCAGCAGTTATATAACTGAGTGCTGACTCTCGGCTTGGCCTTCCAAGTGCAATTGTCCCTTAGGCACGTGGACTTTGTTTTGGATTGGACGTGAACCTGCCAGGCTATTTGTTTAAATTTCTTCCAGAGGTACAGGGCTGCATTTTATTTTAGACCTTTGGTTCAGAGCTAAATTGCAAACAGCTTGGGGTTTATTAGGATGTTTTTATGAACCCCAAGCTTAGGTTAAAACATAACTTTCTGTGTTTGCTCCTTCTCCGAAGCACTCCCTTGTCCTCATAACTACTTTTTTCTCCGATGTACATTCACAGGGGCCTATATGCAGCCAGGAGCTCGGGAAAACATTGCTTATCTCACTCACACAGAGCGGAGGAAAGACTTCCAGTATGAAGCCATGCAGGAGCGCCGAGAAGCAGAGAACATGGCCCAGAGGGGCATAGGTGTGGCAGCCAGCGCAGTGCCCATGAACTTCAAAGACCTCATTCAAACAAAGGCTGAAGAACATAATATTGTTTTCATGCCTGTCATTGGAAAAAGGCACGAAGGAAAACAACTGTACACTTTCGGGCGGATCGTAGTCTATATTGACCGGGGTGTTGTGTTTGTGCAAGGGGAGAAGACTTGGGTGCCAACATCCCTTCAGAGTCTGATCGATATGGCAAAATAGGGCCTGGCTCCTCAGCAGAAAAATTGTATAAAGGGTGTATTAAAAGACTTCTGAAAAATGAATTTGGGACCCCACTGAATCCACAGTAACCTGGGAGACTCAGATCACATCCAGACCAGGTCTTGGGGGAATAGCCCTTGCCCTCCTTTCCTGCAGTTCTTCAGGTGTGACAGCCCTGGTAGCCTGAGGTCACACCATGCTCCTCTGGTGGTGTGATCAGGAGAACTGGCTAAGCTTCCTAATCTAAACCAGAACCCATTTGAGGGTGGGCATGGCCTGAGGCCAGATGAATCCAGCCTCCTGCCCTCCTCCTTCTAGGAATTTGCCTACCCAGGCTCCTCCTCATTTTCCCCAGTGTGGGGGAAAATAAAAACGTGCTGCTTCTACCGACAAGGATACAACCCAACACTTCTGCAATGGAATTTAATCATAGGCCTTCCTTCCCAGCTGTCTCTTGTCCTCTCGGGGACCAACAGCTACTTTCTATCACACAGGACATCACAGTTAAAGGAAATACTAAGCATTTATTTCTAAGAGTAGTTTATAAAACATCAACAATACCTTCCCAATTGGGAAGACTTGGCATATCATATGGTTCCTCTTTCTAAATTCTCCCAGCCTGGGTCCATCTGGGTAAGAGAAACAAGGAATTCTTTGAAATCATCCAAGGCATCAGCTGCTTTTTAGCTTTCCCGTGACACTGATGCTCTGCTGTAGTCCACGTGTGGCCTCTGGAGCTTACGGATGCTGCTTGGAGAGCTGAGAGGTTCTAACCTTGACCAGTGTCCCTCAGCGTGAGTCTAAGGCCAGACTGCAGCCCAGGTCTTCCTGGCTCTTTGCTCCTGACCACTGCAATAACAGTTAATTAATACTGTCCAAGGAAGGGCTGAGTCTACTTTCTCTGGTTCCTGATGATTTCCAGCTCCTCACTTTTAGAATAGTTTGGCTCTTTTTGGATTGTCCACATTTCACTGGGGAGCTCTTTCAGCTTTTGTAAAGGAAACCAATGGATGGCAGTATCATTAAATATGTCCATGTAGTGCAATGTCTGAGGAAATTCAATTTCCTCTGTTCCTTTTAAAATCTAGAAAGAATCCAAAGGCAAAATCTAATTAGTCCCTCAAACTTATTTTCCTTCTTTCTGGGTGAATGCTAGATTTGGTCTTTTAGCGTTAATCCTTTATTCTAACTTAAAAGAAGGGATACCGACTTCCAGTTTTAAAAAAACAAAAACAAAACAACTTTGGTACCTCTGCCTCAGAGTCCTAAGAATAGTGGCAGTGTTTGATCATAATTTTAATGAGTGGAGAAAAAAAATCAAACAATTTAACAGAGATATTAAGAGGCAACCTAAGAGTTGTCTCAGCGAACTGAAACAGACCCATTATTGTAATCAAACTTACTGAATCCCTTCCTAAGAAAAATCCATATATTCCTGTTTCAGTTATAGGCTAATTTATCTTCTACACAATTTGAATGTAATTTTTTTTTAAACACTGAGAAAGAGCTACAAAGATGAGATTGTTCCCCCATCCTCACCACACAACATACATACCTTTGCCACATAGGGGTAATCTTTCTGTAGAATCCTTGTTAATAACCTAGAAATAAAAACCATGATTAAGAAGTGAGACAGAATAAATGGACAAGAGGACTGTCTAAACTGAAGGCGGAACTTCCTAAAATGAGGAAGAGTTGCTGGAAAGGGAAAACACCTTCAAACCTGCCAGGCGGAAGGCAGGCCAGAAGATCTCAAAGCTAACAATCTCAGACCTGAAAGGACATCAGAGGCCAAGTGGCTGAACCAGACCTGACAGGATTCCTTCTGCGATGTCTCCAACCAGTGGCTGTTCCTCCAGCCTCTACCTGAAGACTTGCAGGAAGGTGGGAGAAGCTCACCAGCTTCCCAGGCAGCCCATTTGACTCTGGGATGGCTCTTTATTGGTTTTCCTTTTGTCAAGCCTAAATTTGCCTTTCTGCAGTTTTCTAGCCTTCTTGTACTAATGCTTCAGGATTTTATCGCTTAGGAAGAAGAGTTATTATGAGCCAAGAAGGTACTGATCCAATGTATGTAGCTGTAACCTCAGAGCCAGACTGTAGGGCTGTTTAAACCATATACAGATTATCCAAAGGGAAGCAAGCGCTCGTTGTAACAAGGGCCATTTTACTTGATGTGGATTCTCTAATTCCCTCATGTTTTATCTCATCTTCACCAAAACCTCTGGGGCTCATTTTCTTGGTTTGCCTTTGTAACACTAATTCTAGGAAGGAAGTAACAGAAGGCCAGGGGTGGGAAGGTGGGAATGCTTTAAATCAACCCAGGGTGATCTGAAAATGTTCAAAACGAACTTTTAACTTAAACCTTACGTGGATTATTTCAGGTACTTACTTTCCTTCAATTCCTTTGAAACTATTTCCAATGATCATCATCTTGGAAAGGGAGTTGACTGACCAGTTACTCCATAACAGATTGTTATACAAAGCCGTTCCGCAGTGGATCATGTAAAAAATGGTGGGTTCACTGTAAATACTGTGTTTTCCTTCCTATGGACAAATTTGGCAACGATGTCACTGGCAGAATGCAGGTTGCTAGGCTCCAGAGAGACCGCTCCACTCAAATTCAACAAAAGCTACTCATGTGAGCCCACCACTGACATCAGTTCAGTGGGATCAAATGCAAATAGAACCTTGGGCCACTAAACGCTTGGTGGGGGCACTGGGAAGTCACCACATGCTTAGCCTTGGTATAAGTACATACAAAGTACCTAGAAGACTGAGAAGCATCCCCACTCACCACTAAGGTCCTTTGAATTCTCCTGGTGGTACGGAGGGGACCTTGAGTTTGTGAAGGCTGTGCTAGCACAGCAGAACCTGACACTTCTGGTCAGAAACTATCTGGGATCTGGCCTGAGTGTGGAGAGCTCCACCAGGGTGTTTGAAAGTCATCCTTTCAGAGGTTAGAAGATCTATGCTAAGCTTCTCCTGGCACATTCTTACTCTGAAAATCTTACCTCGTTCTCCTCGAGAACAGTCAGACCGAGGGTGTTAAGAACTGAAATTTCAACTTCATTAAAGAGAGGATCAAATATATAGCAGTGATTTCTGGGAATCTGCACAAGAAAGAAAAAAGAGATGCTACAGAGCCATTTTGATTTCCTTCGATTTCCTTTACCAATATCCCTTATTGTCCTTACCTGTAACTTCTCCAGAAAGAGAAGTAAAAAAGCTAGTTGATTGCGAGCTATTAGACATGAAGCAAACTTCCCAATTCCGTAGCAAACACACTTAAAATGGCTTGTCCTCTTCAATGAGTCTTCCTTCAAGTTGGAATTGGGTGCCTCAACTGGGTGCTGTGATGGTTCCAGATGGAGGTGTTCCAGGGCTTCGGAAATGGGTGCCATTACTCCCTGTAGTTGTTCCAGAGGTTTAGTAAGACGCTTCTGGACGATTCCTGAATATCAAGAGACAAAATTCCAATAGAAGTAGTAGTTTTTATTATAAGTCAAATCATCAAGAGTTTGAAAGGAAGAAAGGTATTAAGACTGATTTCTGCTGAAAAGGTTTTCCTGGATAACATCACAAAGTTCCACTCCTCAGCACCTAACAGGGCTTGCAGACAGTATAAGCACCTAATGAGTTCACACTCAGGGAACGAGTGTGGCCCTGTACTGAAACAGCAGGCAAAAACCCTAGTCCACCTCTGTTCAGGGTCTTCCTTATGAAAGAATGGAATTAAGTTAAAGCAACATTTAAGTGCCTATACTTTGTGTATGGCACTGTGCTAAGTAGTGTGGATACAATGATGAGAAAAGAGACATGAAAATACCAACGCTGAGAAATCAACAGGCTATCAATAAGCAAATGATTATGCTGAACTATTCTACGTGAGTTTTATTTCAGTGTTCTTTAGCCTGGGAAAGAAATGGATCAGTTCTGTAAGCAGAATGGTCAGTTCTAAGGGAGTCACTCTTCAGGGCAGGCAGCAGGAGTGTGGAACGGGTGGGGAACGGGATTTTTGAAGAGAAAGGTGCCCCCATATCTCCAAGAATGAACTTCCAATCTAATCTCTTGATTTATGGAAAAGGAACAAATGTGAAGCTCGTCATTCTCTTATTTTTACTTTTAAGAAATGATGCTTTTTTCTACATTAAACATTTTGTGAATTTGCATGTCATCTCTGTTCACTGGCCATGCCAATCTTCTCTGGACTGTTGGAGCTTTAGTACAATGTGATGCTCGAGAACACACTCACTGAGGCTTTGAGGAGTCTATGATTTCCTTGTGTGGATACTTCCTCTACTGGCGCAGATCACAGTTTCTCTGCAAAAAGCACCGCTGCCTCTGGAGTCAGAACATCTGGTTGCAAAGCCCAGCTCTGACCCCTACTTCCTGTGTGACCTAGGGCCACCCTTTTTCCTGCCCCAGACTCAGTGTCTTCCTCTGTTAAATATGGGCTTTGCTTTAGAGGTTTCCTCCAGCTCTAGATCTTATCATCCTCCATGCCTTCTTCTCTTTTGTGATTCTCACCCATAGCTTTCTTTTTAAAAATTTTAATTTTATTTCTTAAAAATTCAATTTATTTTCAGTTCCAGCTTTTCCCCCTCTTCTTCCCTCTCCCCTCCTCCACCCATTGAGAAGGCAAGAAAAAAACCCATTACAAAAACATAATCAGAGTTGCTGCATCTTTCCTAACTGATTACTTTTACAATATTGTAGAAATTGTTCTGATTTTCCATCAGTTCATATAAGTCTTCTCCTTCGTCATTTCTTACAGCACAATAATATTTCATCTCCTTTGCATACTATAACTTGTTCAGCCATTTCCCCCATTGGTGGGCATCCCCTCAGTTTCCAATTTTTTGCTACCACAAAAAGAGCTGCTATAAACATTTTTGTACCTATGGACCCTTTTCCTCTTTCTTTGATCTCACTGGGGTATAGTATCAGTATCACTAAGTCAAAGGGAATACACAGTTGAATAGTTTTCTGCTGCCCATATCTTTCTACACATCTTCCACAGAGGAGTCCCCTAACGTGGTGTCTATAGGCCTTTCTCTTATCCTTTCTTATTTCCTTAATACTGTGCAGCCTACCCATCTATTACCCTTTGATCTCATGACATGGCCAGTTCATGTCCCTTTCAGATCACATCATGGATGATATCTTACATCAATTCCTACACAGAAGTAATTGTGGAAGTAGAACACAACCTACACACACCTGCCATGCATCTTTTTGGTGCAACCTGTATTCCACAATAATGTTCTTAACATCAATTTAGCACCATTGGGGGAATGGTAAAAAAGATGGAATTTTGCAGCAGCAAACAGCTTTGGACTATTTAAAGTGATGTATAATTTCCTGATTGTTGTTCTGGCTAGATCTATTATGAACTATACAGTTAATTTGCTATGCTGTACCTATTCAAGATCCAAAATGCACTGATGGACAAAATCATTTGGCTGGCCAATGTATCTAAGAAGTAAATGATTTCTTACATGTTCTTTTTCATTGTGGAGAGCTAGGCTGACCTCCTTTGAATGACAGTGGACTAATTTTTATCAGTGCTAAGTGTGACGAATGTTACTTTCTTAAAGATAAGGGGACAAAGAGAAGCCTTAATAAATGTGTTTTCATCAGGATCTCCTGGTGCCTTGGTACACTTTTCTTCTGTATTCAGGGATGAATGGCACATTACTCACCCTCTGTCAAATGCCAGAGATCGGAGATTAGCAGGTCCTCCCTGTTAAAGATAAATACAGTCGTTATTGCCCCTTCCTTTCAGTGCTGCTTGAATCCCCCCATCTTTTTTGGCCAGAGATAAATGCCCAAACACTTTTTTCCACCCTGTTCCTTCACAATAGGGACTTCATTCTGTCAGGAGAGGCCAGAGGCCAACAGAAGCAGCAGCCACCTTCCATCCAGGCATAGAGAGGCTGGCTCTCAGGAGCTGTAGCGTCAGCCCCTCATGAAGCTGGAACAGACTGTGTGCATGCACTGCTCACGATCACCTTAAGATGACTAAAATGGGAACTTTACCAGGTTTCTCCTGGACTATAGGAGAAAGAGGGATCCAGGTGGTATGGGGGAAGATTTAAAGTTCAGAAAATCTGGTTAAGGAGCTGAGACCACATACACATTGTTTTTCCCACAACTCCTGTTGGCCTGTAACAAGAAACCCGCTTGGGAAGGTGAGGCCTAGGCGGTTGCTACTTTCCAGACCAAGGATTGCTGGCCCAGTGGTCAGGCAGCAAGGGAGGCTGAGTGTTTGGCTTTGAAAGAGAGGACATGGTGTTTTTCACTCCAGATGTAGGCTTAGCTGCAAACGAGCTTTCCAGCATAACCAGGGCCGTTTCCTGGGGTGGGCTGGGGGGCGGGAGCACTTCAGCTGCTTTGGGAAACAAGGCACTCCCTAACCTGGTTGGTTCAAGGTCAAGCTCACATTCCATGCCCTGCATCCCTCCAGGCCTTACCAGTGTGCCCTCCTCCTCTCCACCCTCCATGACTGACTCTTATTTGTGGACAGCTCCTTCACCCCCAGGAAGGTGTAATCGTGTGAAGGCAGGTGCCAGCACTCAGCAAAGTGCCTGACACACCGCAGGCATTCAATAAAGGCTTGCTGAATTGAACTGGAAACAGTTTCCTATCCCCTTTTCGCCAGACCCATCGCTGTTTTCTTAGGACCAAAGTCCACCCAACCTGGAAAGTCCCTGTGAGACCATCTGGTTTCACCTCTTCATTTAGCAGACAAAGAAACAGAACCCTAGGGGAGGGAAGGGACTTGTTCCCGGTCCTGGACCCTGAGTCAGGGTTCCCTTCCAATGGGGGGGGGGGGTCAGCGCTGTCTCCACCACAGGCTGGCTTCCTTGTATCCCGTGCTTTGGGGCAGCCCATGTTAATCATGCGGGGCGCCCCCCCCCCCCGCCCCCTGCCACGCCCCCGGGACAGGAAGCTCCGAGTTCATGACCCGAGAACATGACCCCAGGGCAGTGGGGCCATCTGGATGGACCATCAGCGCTGGGAAGGCCCTCAGGGCCAGGTTTTTAACCAGGACTATGGACTTGGAATTTTAAAAGTGCCCATTTTGTGGACTGCATGGAACATAACTGGCTTCCTTTGCTTCCCATGTGTTGCATTTTATGCGCTGACATGGGGATCTATGGCACAAAAAAGGAAAAGGCTTTACAGCGGCCGACGTCAGAGGGGGTGAGAGGAATAAGCATTGATTAACCGCCTACTGTGTGCCAGGAAGAGTGCACTTTACAAATATCACCTATCTGATCTCACAACAACCCGGAAGGTAAATGCTGTTATTATTCCCATTTTAAAGAGGAGGAAACTGAGGCAAACGAGGTTAAGTGGCCCGCCTAGCGTCCCACACCGGTGTCTGAGGCCCGGGGCTCTCCCGGAGCATGAGGGAGGGGTGGGGGCTCAAGGGCCATCTTTGTTTAGTCCCCTCATTTCCCATTAGGGAACACCGAAGCCCAGACAGCGAAGGCAGGCGGGGTGGGCGCGGGCTCCAGGTTCAAATTCTGCCCGCGCGCCTGCTCCTCAGGAGGACCTCAGTTTCCCCCTCCGTGGCCGCTCACCGGGCCTCGCAGACCCGCCTCCGCACCGCGTCGCCGTCCCCGTCCGCCTCCGGGGCTTCGGGGGCCGCGCCCGCCCCGGCCGGCCCCGGGCGCCTCCCTCTGCGTTTCGGCACAGTCCTCCACTCGCCGGCTGCGGCCGCTGCCATGGCGCCGAGACTGACGTCATCACCGTGCGCCGACGCCGACACCGACTTCATCGCCCGGCGCTCCCGGCGTCCCCCGCGACCGAGCTGGGGCGGGGCCAGGGAGGGGGACGTGAGGGGGCGGGGCGGGGCGGGCCCTGCGCGTGACCGGGAGGGCCGCCGCTCGTGCCGCGCTCAGGTAGCCCGGGAGGGGCGGGAGGAGGGAAGATGGTGGGCCGGGGAGGAGGACCCCTCCCCCGTTCCGGCCCATAGCCTCTCGAGGTCGGGGGTAGGGGCGGCGGGCCACAGCTGGACGTGCCGATCCCCCCGCCCTTGGGCGGACTGCGCATGCGCAGACCGAGGAGGCCGGAGAGAGGAGGGAACCCGCAGCCGGCGCCACTGTGCTCACGTGGCCGGCGGGGTCTGGGGGAAACTGAGGCCCGGAGGCGTCGAGCGGCCTGCGAATGAGCGGCATGGCCGGGGTTCAGGCGTCTGTGGGGAAGGAGCCTCAGGGCACTTTAGTCAACAAGCATTTATTAAGTTCCTGCTGTGTGCCAGGCTCTGTGCTAAGACGAATCAATAAGCGTTTATTAAGCTACTACCAGGTGCTGGGGGTACAGCCGCATTAGTAAGTGCTCAGAGCTGGGGAGAAAAGCCAACGAGCATTTATTAACCTCCTGCTGTGTGCCAGGCGCTGTGCTAAGCACTAGAGATACAAATAAGTCAATAAGCCTTAAGTGCCTACTGTGTGCTAAGCTCTGGGGACCCAGAGAAAGGCAAAAGATGGAGGAGGAGGAGCTCAGAATCTAACGAGGGAGACAGCATGCAAACAGCTGTGCACAATCATCAGGATTAACAGGAAACAACAGGGAAAGCGCTAGAATTAAGAGGCATTGGGAAAGGTTTCCGGGAGAAGATGGTGCCAGTGGGCAGAGATGAGGAGGGGGAGCATCGTGCATGGGGAGAAGCCATGGAAAATAGTGGAGTCTGGAGATGGAGGGTCTTGTGCGAGCCAGTCACCCGGAGGCAGAGTGCTTGGAAGAGAAGAGAAGAACCTTAGAACACCAGCACCTTAGCACCTAGAACATCAAAGTCAAGAAGGACCTTAGACTGCCAGAGTTGGTAGTTCCTTAGAACACAGAACGTCAGGCTTGTAGGCCGTAGACCAATTCCTTTTTTATAGAGGAGAACACTGAGGCCCGGAGGTCACGCTCCAAATTAGTGGCAGAGCCCTGACTTAGGACCCAGGCTATGGCTCTCTCTTCCACACCCCTTCTCTTTCCCTTCCCCCCCACCCCCTTCCTTGGTTCTTTCAATTCAACAAGTGTTGCCTACTCACTATGCCCAGGGCCAGCTGCTGTACCCCTTCATCAGAACTGCTTGTAATCCCAGGGGCTGATCACTTCCTGCAGACTGTCACCTGCTTTGGCCTCTGGGGAAAGGGATGAACACCTTCTCCCTTGTAGGGCAGATGCTCTAGATAACACATTGTGTCTCTTCTAGTGCTAGGCTGGGGCCTTATGCCTCCCAGGTCCCTAATACTTGTTAGTTGGGTATCATGATTCAAAAGCCCAACTGGCAAGTTACCGTTTTGTTGTTTCAGAACCTGCCCACTTCTGGGGAATTTACATCCTTTTCTTTTGTTTCAGTTTCAGGTTGCCAGGGGATAGTTCTTTAATTTCTGTTCTGTTAATTCCATGTATGGCTAGCTGAATGTTTGTTCCCAGGGAGATTTGCCACCCGTTACTGGACAGTAACTCCAGTGAGGAGAAGAGACAAGGAGAGAAAACCCGGCTTCAGAGTTCGCACTTTGTGATTTTTGAGCCCTTTGTACCTTAGTTTTCTCATGGATAAAGTGGGGATACTTCTCTTACAAGGGTGTTGTAGGGCAAATAAGATAAAGAATGATGTAAGTCTGGGATAATAGTACACATTTATATGATACTTGATTATTTCGGGACCTTCTGTGATGATCTGATAACCATTTATTATTTCTTTTCTTAATCATAGCATTTAAACCTCAAAGAAAACTCTTTGAAAATATTTGCATCAGCTGATGTCTGTTAGGTCACATGATGGGAGCACGGACTTTGAAATAACTTATTCATTATATTCCTTCTAGGGCTAAAATATTAATTTGGATTGGAAGCACCAAGCTGAAAATAGAAGTATCTGGACACCTTTGAACTGGAGGAGAGGGGGTGACTTCTCCAAGTCTGAAGCATGCACCCCACCAACAGGACTGGGCTGGGGAAATGTGCCACAGATTTCCTAGCATAGCCAGTGAAGGAATGCTTCAGGGCAGGGTCCTGTACGAGCTGTCCAGACGGCTTGGATTTCTTGGTAGAAGCTTTGTTTTTTTGGACATCTCTTTTCTGTGATAAGGAAATTTGAAGCTATACCCCCTCTGCTTCAGACGTTCAAGAGACCCCTAGGCCTGTGAAGAAGAAAGCATCCGACACCTTCACTCGGGCTCAGCGAGTGCTCGTTGTAGACACCTAAAAGTAAAGGCTGCCAGGCCTCTTCCCATTGGATTGGTGAAATCAAGGGAAGGAGAATCTGCCATTGTTACCGGAAAGAGAGATGGCTGAACAGTTTTTAGTGGAGAAGAAAACTCATGTGAGGAGCATGAGGCAGATTTAAGCCAACCCGAAGTAAATGGCCACCTCTGGCTTAGAAGGAGCCAAGGCAGTCTCTTGGTGAGTAACCCATCAACCATGTGACTTAAGTGAAGTCTGCTGTGGAACAGCTCTGCTGCTTTTTTTTTTTTTTATTTTTAGTTATTTATTTTTTAAAATGCATTTTGTGAGGGTGTTGATTCAATGGTAGAGCTTCAGTTCACCAGACGTATATTAAACCTTGCACGTAGTGGGCACTTTATGGTTTCCAAAGTGCTCCCATAAAGATACAGAATCTCGGGGTTGGGGGGGACCCAGGGAGGCCATCCCTGAACAGCATCACAGGCACGTGCTCATTCGCTGCTTGGAGACTTCCAGAAAGGGAAACCCACCCCTGTCCTTTGGGGCATCTCGTTCCGCTGTGGGATGGCTCTGATCGTCAGGATTCCTCAGGTCAGGCCTCAGCCTCCCTCGGCTCAGCTTCTGCCTTTTGGCCCCTGGTTCTACCCTTGGGTCCAGTCAGAACAGAGCCCACCCCTTTTCCAGATGGTGGGCCGTTGGGTATTTGAAGGCAGCAAACCTTAAAGCACTCTAGAAACGCTAGCTATTATTATCATCATTACTGCTACTGTAGGCAATGATTTGTGCTCCAGTCTGGGAATAGAAAGATGAAAAATGATATCGTTCCTGTTCTCAGGTAGTCTGTTGGGGGAAGAGGTAGATATGGACATTTGCCCATGTTATCCTCATAATAACAGAGAAGTGTTGCTATTCCCAGTTAGGAATGAATGAAAAACGTGAAGCTCAGGGAACTCTCCTGTCGGGCAAGAGGATGAGGCAGACGAGGAGGTGGAGAGAGCCTGGTACTAGGCCTGGGCCTGCTGCTGGCTGCTCTACGGGTCTCCTCCGGAGCCTCCATCCCAGCTCAGTCATTGGCTGCCTCTGTGACACTGGCCAAGCCGCCGGGCCCGTCTGGTCCTCGGTTCTGACTTGTAGAGGTCAGAGCTTTTGGTAAAATGCAGAGCATGAGGAAGGGGAGGGCCTGTGGCACCCAGGATTCAGTCTGAGGCAGCAGCCCTGAGGACCCTGGGTGCCCGAGAGGAAGGATCCTGACAACCTCCCCATGCCCAGAGCATTGTAAGATGTAAAAAGAGCTTTCCTCTAAGCGGCCCTCAGGTAGGCAATGCTTATTATTATTGCCCTTCTTTTTACAGAGGAGGGAGCTGATGCTCAGAGAGGTTGAAGGGACTTTCTTGTGATTATGCATCAAGTCATCCTCAGAAGGGGAATTTTAAAGAAGTCTGGACTTGGAGTCAGATTATCTGAGTTTGCATCCTGCCCCTTGTCACTCCCTCACCTCTCTGGGCCCCAGCCTCCACATCTGTAAAAGGAGGACTCCGAAGGCCATTCCAACTGCAGATCTACGAGCCTGGGATCCCGGGGCTCTTCCGACTCCCTCGGATGCACTTTGCTCTTTCCCAACTTCCACTGTGCCAACATTGTCGGCTGCCCCCAACTTCCTCTTAATGCTGCAGGAACTTAGTTATCAAAAGAAAGTGGTGAATGGTGTGGTTGAACAGTGAAGGCTCCTTGTTCCAAATACAACTTGTCATCGTGGGCACTTCATTCTTCCTTTCTCTCACTCTCATTCTTTCCTGGACACGTGGTCCCGGATGCATAGAGGCATGTTTTTAGGGGGACACTCCTGCGCTTGGGCAGTGGTTCTGCCCATTTGTTGTTCAGAGGGTCCGGAAGGGCTCACTGACACTGAATCATGAGTCTTTCAGGGAGGAGATGGCGTTGGGGCGCTAGGTTAAAAATGGCGGCATCCCAGGAGGCTAAGAAACACGCTGTCATCCTGCCCCTCTGTCTCTCCAGGTGGAATTATTTTTTTCTTTACGATGGCTCGAAGGTAAAGGAAGAAGGAGACCCAACAAGAGCAGGCATTTGCTATTTCTATCCTTCTCAGGTAAGCCACGCGGTATTTTATTCCGCTCTCACGTAGCGGTTTTTAGAAACTGGGGCCCTCAGCTGTGTGTGCGATCTGGGAATGAGGTTTTGTTGCATTTGGAACATGCACAGGCATGGCCCCAGAGGTCTCTGAGGCGCCTCTCCCGTGCCTGATAACCCTGCTTTGTCCTGAGGAGGACGCACAGTTCAGATGAAACCCAGCCCCCGCCCACATAGAGCTTGTAGCTTATCCCCGGCTCTTAGTCATCAGATGGCTGGTTCTGGTCTTGAAATCTCTGGATTTTTTTGTTGCCCTTCTGCAGCCATCACTGCTACCCCCTGCTCCCTTCCTTTCTCTTGAGCCTCCTCTTTAGCAGAGTAGATATTGGTGTCTGCCAGAATGATGACTGTGACTTGGCCAATGTTGTCCCCTTTGTCCTGGAGGAGATGCTTCAGTTGGTGCTGCTGTGGCCTTCTGGTCCCTAGACAAGATTGCTTTAGCTGTGAAAGGCGAGAGTGTTAGTGCCTGTGCCCATGCTCGGTGCCAGGCCCACATTTGGTGCTATATAGGTACTTAATCCCCTGCCCTTTCCTTGGCACAGAATGATCTGTGCAAGCATCCCCTCCCCCAGTCAATGTTCTCCTTCATTCAAACATCCACATAGTGAGTGTCCTTTCTGTGGCCAGGCAGGCGGTGAAGGATTTCACTCTCTTCTTTGGCATCCTCTCTTTTCCCACAGACCGTGCTCGACCAGCAGGAGTTCCTCTGTGGACATATTGCTGGAGTTGTCCGCTGTATTTTTGAAATTTCCGGGTCTCCTCCCAGTCTTGTTCGTTTGAGGAAATTGAAATTTGCCATAAAGGTTGATGGAGATTACCTTTGGGTAAGTTAAAAATTGACATTGATTATGAGAGATAGGACAGAGGCGGCCACATGTGGCTTCGAGGCCGCAGGTTCCCCGCCTCAGGATAGGCAATGGATTTCTTTGGGGTAGGGAGCTTCAAGTGAAGAAAGTCCCTTTGCCAGTGCAGGTCGGCACCCTTTCTGAATTCGGAGCCCTTGGGAGATACCCAAAGTTCTCAGAGCTGAAGTGACTTGCTGAGGGCCCCACAGCCAGGCATTGTCAGAGGCAGGACGTGAATTCTGGTTCTTAGTAGAGAGCTGTTTAAAAATGATGATTGTGGTTTGGTTTAGTGACGGAAATGGTGTAACCACATTTAGACAGTGTCACTTTTTTAGTCAGACAGCCCAGGAGCCCATGGTGATATTCTCTGCTGGTGAGGACAGTTACCCTCTGGCCTTCTCTGCAGCTTCTTTCTAACCAGAGGGCATTGGGACTCACTTGCCCAGTATCTGGGAGCTCCATTTACTCTGATTTACAAATTGAGTTCCACCCTCCTGGTTACCTTGGTTCATCAGGAAGATGGGCTGGGTGAACTCAAAACCATAATGCATTTAGGGGCATAACACCTTGAGTTTTGGGGAACACAAGAAGATTGAAGCCTTTTCCTTTTCCAGTAAGCAGTCTGTGTGTGCCTTCTGTAGCCAGTCATTAGATATATTCTAGAATTAAATTAGATATATATTCTAGAATTAAAGGCTTTTCAAGCTGAAGGGAACCTTGGACATCAGCTAGTGTTCAGTCACCTCATGGCAAGGATGAAGATACAGAGGGGCCCTGAGGCCAGAGAGCTGGGCCAGGATCATGTAGCCATCTGTCTCTCATTTCAAAGGCAACTTCCATGTTAGAACAGTGTGGCTCCTTGAAACTTTCCGTAGAAGTGGGGCAGGGCAGTTAATTCAGTTCAACGAGTATTTATTGAATAGCTGCCCTGTGACCAGCATGGTGCTTAGCACTCAGAGGCCTTGTCTTCTGCCCGTGATCTAGTTGGGGACATGAGAAATTCACCCTTGGAAAAATTAGAAATATTCTAGATACTGCATAATAAAGGGTTAAGTAGAATATAATCAAGTGCCAAACTGTCAGTCATCCAGTAAATATTGATTAAGTACCTCTTGCTAAGGCCTAGGGATACAAAGAAAGGTAAAAACAGTCCCTGCCCTGACTGAGCTCAGTCTAATGGGATATATGACATCAGTTAGTAAGAGGGCTTTCAGCAAAGAAGGAGAGAAATGTGAGTGGAAGTGACCGGAGAGGCATCCTGGAGGAGAGGCATTTGAACCTGGCCCTGGGGGATGAGGATTTGAACTGTGAGAGAAGGGGCCCAGGAAGACCCTTTATTTGGGAGGTCAGCAGGAGCTGTGATGAGGAGGGCCGCTGAGGATGCTGGGCTGGAGCAGAAGCTTGTGCTGGGGAGTCTGGATGGTGGGTGAGACCAGACCCTGGACACCTTTAGTGCCCCGGTGAGGGAGGCTGTGACCTTAGGTATAGCTTTGTGGGGTCCCTCTGTGTCCGAAGGTGCTGGGCTGCACAGCAGAGCTCCCCGATGTCAGATGCAAGGAATTCCTGGATCAGCTGATTGGATTCTTTCGGTTTTATAACGGACCCGTATCTCTGGCTTACCAGGTACGTAGATGCAGATTGGTCGACCCCGCTCCATCGATAGGCCCACTTTGGAAGGCGGATGTTACCAGAACACCTCATAATGCTGAGGAGTGCTCTTTGATCATATTTATAGGACTGTCCTCTTTCTCCTCCTTCCATCCTCTCTTAGCACTGCATCTGCGGTCATTAGCTGTGGTGATTGTCCTGTTGTCTCCCCCGTCCCCTGCCCAGCTCGGCCCCCTCATCCTGAGGGTTAGACAGCAGGTGTTCACATTCAGCTCCTGGCTCCCAGGCCCATGCAGCTGCAGGTGGCAGCCAGCTTCAGGGCAGTGGACAGGAGCGTCTTCTGGCTCCACTGCTCTAGAGAGAGTACCGCAAAGGGCCCCTCCCACCTCCCCAGAGAGCAGTGTTGGCTATGAACGACCGGGCCAAAGGGACGTTCTGTCAGGTCTTCAGGTGTAATGAATTTATCTGCAACCATTCCTGTTTTAGAATGGGCCTCAGGAAGAGCTGAGCAGAGAGTGGGACAGTTTCATCGACTGTATTCTGAAGAACACCAGTGAGCCGCACAAAATATTCAGTTCCCTTTGGAATTTGGACAAAACGAAGGTAACCTGACCTCCCCTTCCCCCTTATTTATTGCGTATGTGGGAATAATTACTTTTCCAGCCTGTCTTTCAAATAGAATGTGTGTATACGTATATGTATATGTATAGACACACCCCCACATATAGGTGGGCATAATAGATATTACACGTCTAGACACTGTAGAGAAGCAACATGGCAAACTAGTTGGAGTCTTGGTCTCTGAGGCAGGGAGGTCTGGGTTCTGATCTGTCCTTGACCCCTTGATTCGAGCCTCGGGCAGCTCCCTCAGACTCTTATTTTCAGAGGATTCTAGGTTTAGAATCGGAAGGTTCTTTAGAGACCCTTATGGCTGACTCTTCTCTTTTAATAATAATATCTAGCATCTGCACAGTGCTCTAAGGCAGTCAAAGCATTTTACAGACGCTCTCTCCTTGGAGCCTCACAACAGCCTGGAGAAGTAGGTGCTTACTATTATCCCCATTTTATAGATGAGGAAATTGAGGCAGGCAGAGGCGAAGTGACTTGTCCAGGTCACACAGCTAGTAAGTCTCTGAGGATGGGTTTGAACCCAGGTGTTTCTGAGTGCAAGGCTGGCTGTATGCTGCGTCCCTGAGCCACCTGCATCAAGGCAGGAGTTCCCATGTCAGAAGTCTTCCCTGCCAGCAGCATCCTAGACCTTTAGTGTCAAGCTGTAAAGGCCTCTCTCTCCACATGTGCTCGAGGGTGAGTTGCATGGGTCCTTCCCCTGCTAGCATCATCCACTCTTGCACTCTTAGAGCTGATAATAAGTATTTGGCCACAGTCAGGAAGAGAGAAGGCAAGACTGCAAGGTGAGGTGGAGGAGAGAGGCTGCAAAGCCCCTGCTTTTGATGAGGAGACAATCTCTTTGCCACAGGAGTGGGTGAGACGTGGGCTGGGCAGGCAGCTGGCCGAGGCTCCCACGCTCGCTGCTTCTTGGCATTTTTGATGATGGTGAACGTTATGTCCTTTGGAAAGGCATCCAAGGACAACAAAGGGGTTTGTTTTCCACTGAAAACTGGAGTTCCTGAAGGTTGCCAGAGCAGAGGATTGACAGCTCTGTGGCTGCTCCCTCTTTTATTGGCTTCTGTGCTTCTCCAGCTTGAGATGCCACCCATGGCGTCCAGTATTAGTGCCGAGCCAGCACGTGGGCGCCAAGCAAACATTTCCTGATTGGTTGGCTGCCTTTGGTCGATCTCCAGCTCTGAGGGTAGGTTTACACAGCGCCCACCTCACAAACCCACCTGCTCTTTTTAAACAAAATGTCCCAATGGGCTTGGCCTTCAGTCTATGGCTGGGCAAAAAAGGAATCATGTGGGGACCAAACCCAAGGTTTTGGTTTCATTTATACAGCTCTGACAAATTAATGACATTTCTATGACACTTATGAAAAGGAAGGTGGCCAGCAAGCAGCTTGTCAGGTGTTACAGAAGGGTTCTGAGGGGTGTGGCGTCCTGAGCTGAGGGCGGCCGAGGGGGCCTGGGGCTTTCTGTTCCTGTGTTGTTGCCTGGTGTCATGGGGGCAGAGAACTTAGGAAAGCCAGACAGGGAGTGAGTGCAGCTGGAGGGAGGTGGTGGTGGAGTGGGGTGCTCATTGGACAGGAGGCCTTAGGCCCTTTTTATCACCAGTGTTAACATCAAAAACCACTTCCTCCCACTCCCGCTGAAGAGCAGGAAGCAGAGATGCCTTTGTTTACTCTCTGCTCGGGACAGCGTGGAGGGCTGTGTCCTGTCATTCCTTCCAGCTCCCAGACTTGTCTTTACGGCTGGGTTTTGTGACGTCAGCACTTTTGAGGATGGAAAGCTAGGTCAGGCTAGGGTGTTGACTCCAATAGAGTTAGGTAGGACTTGGCCATGCCCTGCCGAAAACTCTTCCCTCCTTCACCTGGTCCTTGTTGTCTGTCTTCTCCCTTTTTTCCACAGGTGGAACCCCTCCTGTTACTAAAAGCCGCTCTCATTCTGCAGACCTGCCAGCGATATCCTCACATTCTGGCCGGCTGCATCCTCTATCAGGGACTGTGAGTACCTCAGCTCCCCATCTTGTTTACTGCAGTGGTCATGCTTCAGAACTCAGCCTGGCACTGACCGCTTTGTCCCTAGCTCCCTCCTGGCTGTGCTCTTGTGAGGGTGAGCCAAGTGACTGGTACTCTGGGTGCTGGCATGTGTTGTAAACAGAAGATGCCCCAGATTTGATCTGGGGGGTATGTGGATCCTGTTCAGTAAAGCCAGAAGGGATTAGGGGAAGGGAGGACTGGGATTTTTCACTTTCGGTGGAGGGAGATGAATTTATTTTTTAATGATAACTTTTTTTCAATCAGTAAAAATCTTTTTTTTTCCCCTCCTACTCCCAACTTCCCCCCTTTCCCCTCCCCCAATTGAGAATGGAAGGAAAACAAAATTTCTCTTGCGACGTATGGTGTCAAGCCCAACAAATGTGTGCATTGGCCACGTCCAAAAAACGTGTTATTCTGTCCTCTTGAATCCTTCGTCTCTCTATCTACAGGCAGGCGGCATGTTTCATCATTAGTCCTTTGAAATTGTTGGCGGTCCCTACAGGAATTAGAGTTCCTAATTCTTTCAAAGTTGTTTGTCTTTACCATCGTGGTCATTGTCCTTCTTGTTCTTCTCACTTCACTCTGCATCAGTTTATATAAATCTTCATAGATTTCTCTGAAACCATCCTCTTACATAACGTCTTACAGCACAATAGTATTCTATAACATTTATATACCATAGCTTGTTTAGGCTTTCCCCAATTTTTAAGCATCCGCCCCAGACTATTTATGGAAATCCTATTTCATTAATTTTTAATTTAATTTAATTAATTTTATGTTTACCCATGTAGCATTAGACTCAGTTTTGTTGGATAGGTTTTTCTTGCCTGTAAGCCATACATACCCTTTGCCTTCTGGAATATCGTATTTCAAACTCTTTGCTCCCTTATAGTGTTAGCAGCTAAATCCTTCATAATCCTGACTAGCTTCTTAGTCCTTGAATTCTTTCTTTCTGGCTACTTGAGGTATTTTTTCTTTTACCCAAAAGCTTTGGATTTGGCTGTAATGTTCCTCAGAGTTTTCGTTTTGGGGTTTCTTCCAGAAGGTGACGAGTGGATTCTTTCTGTTTCTACTTTGCCCTCTGGTTGTAAGAGATCTCAGTAGTTTTCTTTGAAGATTTCTTGAAACAGGATATCCAGGCGCTTTTTTTGGCCATAGCATTTGGATAGTCCAGTAATTCGTAAATGTTCTCCTCACTTTGTTTCCAGAACAGTCATTTCTTTGCCATGAGATACTTTGCATTCACTTCGATCTTATCAATCTTTTGACTGTTTTAATCTTTTAATGGCCATACGAAGTCTTGTTTGGTCCATTCTAATTTTTAGGGAGTTTGTTGCTAGAGTAAGGTTTTGTATCTTTTGTGCCGTGCTGTTAATTTCCTTTTCAACCCTTTCTTCCATGACTCTAATTTATTTTCCAAATTTTTCTTCTAGCGGTCTCATTTCATTGATTAAAACATATTTTAAATGCTTGCTTCGTCTTTTCTAGGAATTCTAGGTGAACTTATGCCCAAATTGTGTTTTTCTTTGAGGTTTTGCTTTTGACATTTTGGAGTTAATCTTTCCTTCTGTGTTTGTGTCCTCAGTGTCCCTGTCACCACAGTAGCTTTGAATGGTGGGATTCCCTTTTCTTATTCTTCCAAGCTACTTCCTATTTTTAGACTTATTGTTAGGACAGGGCTTTGCCACGCTTCTGGAAGAAAGGTCTAGGCTGGTTCTGTTGCTGCTTTCTTGGGAGTATTGAGTCTTACGTTACTCAGGATCTCGGGGGCAGTTCAATCTGAAGACCTGAGAGTTTGCAGTGCTCTCAGAGTGGTCTGATTCAGGACGAAGTCTGATTGCTGCCCCCCTGGTCTGAGCTCTGCAAGTTCTAGACCTGGCGTTGGGTCTGAGCAGCAGTAGACCACTGCTAGACTCAGCCCCCATCTGCCCAGTGGGAAGTGCTGTTGGTTCAGATTAATAGAACTGTAGGCTTTCCTTAATTCAGATTAATAGAACTGTAGGCACTGGAATTCCTGTCCTGGGCGTCCTTTGCAGGCTTCAGGTTTGACTAAAGCTAGAACTGAAATGCCCTACTCTGCCCCTGAGGTCAAAGACATCACTGTTATGTGCTTCTGAATTGTCCCTACAGAGCCTCAGGTTTGCTGCCACTCCTTAGCTGGAACACTCACTTTGGACCCAGGTCCCCTCCTCAGTGTATTCTGGACCTGTTATCTGGAATTGAGCAGTGGGCAAGAAAGCCACCAATTGGCACCCATTCCTACACTCTGCATGGGGTACTTGGCATGGGTATGGGGCCTCTTCTTAGGAGCACAGCCTGTCCCTGTGATGTAGTCTAGAGGTTTAGGATTGCTGGGACCCCAAGATCACAACATGTGAGTCCTGCCTGAAAGAATTCTACCCAAGCCTTCTTTCGGCCAAAGACAAGGTTTATAAAAGATCTGCCATATTAGCTAGACTCTAAAGGAATCTGCGGGTCTGTGAGGTATTGGCTAGATTGTAAAAATCTGAGCAGTGGCTAGATTATAAGAATCAGAGCATCTTAATGGAGGCAAGATGGACCTTATATACAGAAAGACTGTGGGAGAGATCTAGGAGTGGCTAAGTAGTCTATGAGGTAATAGAACTCTAGGGGTGCCAAGAGAGAATGCAGCCTAGATAGGATTAATGGAGGGAAGTGGCCAGGAACATAGGGAGGTCCAGGCTAGGTTAAGGGTAACAGAATTGGGAGATTGGGTGTAGCCACAATGAAAGCTAGTTGACAGGATTAGAGCCTCGGGCAAACGCCAGAGATTTGGCCATGTGGGAAAGTCCAGGGTTTTTCCTTTTTGGGGTATAGCTCCCATCCTCATCACCTGGGTGCTAGGCTGCTGTGCATGGCAGGCTCCTGGCTAGAGCCCTACCCCGGTGTCTACACACCTCCCTCCCAATGCTGATCTGGGTTGGAAAAATGACTCGCTGTCATTTTGTCTTGGATTCTCCCATCTGGATTCTGTCTGGTACATCTTCTGGATCTCTTGGGAAGAGTTTTAGTGGGGAGAGGAAACTTGCTGAACCACTTCCTCCTTCTCCAACATCTTGGTTCCTGAGATAGATGAGTTTAAAAGGCCATTTTGTTATCAGGTGCAAACCTGAGCCCTGAAGGGAATGAAGGACTGAAAGAATTAGAGCTGAGAAAGAGGGGTCCATTCTAGGTTCGGGTATAGCTCATGTGAAAGCAGGGGCGTGGTAGGGACGATGCTAGGTGTGGGGACCAGCTCCTAAGACAGTTTCGCTGGATAAGGGAAGCAGTAGGAAATAAGCTTAGAAGGGGAGGTTGGAGCTCAAATGTCAGGTTGAGGATGGTCAGGCCCATGCTTTAGGCTGATTACTGTGAGGATATGAGGTTGTGCAAATGGAGAGGAGGCTGATGGGATCGAATTGACAAGACTACTGATTGAATAAAGGGGGAGGTGGGTTTAGGGAGACAGTAGTAAGAAAGACTCTGAGGTTGCAAAACGGGGTGATTGAGAGGATGGGGGTTCCCTGAATAGACATTGGGACTACCAGAGGAAGGCTAGGCATGGGGGTGGGGGCAGGAGAAGATAAGGAGTTCAGCTTTGGACTTGCCGAGTTTGAGGTGCTGATGGACTCCTTGAGGAGAAGGGGGTGGTATAGGACTGAAATTCCAGAGAAGAGGAGAGATTAGGGCCAGATAGAGTGTTTGCTTGCTTGATTTGGGAGTCATCTGCATAGAAAACCCATTAGAGCACCTGGGATCACCAAGGGAGAGAGAGAGAAAAGGACCCAGAGCGGAGCCTTGGGGGAAGCACACACTCCTTGGTGTGGGATGGCTGACCATTTAGCAAAGGAGAAGGAGAAATCAGGTGGGAGGAGAAGTAGGTCAGAAGCCAGAGGGCCAGATGGTTGACAGAGTCAGAACCTGCAGGGATCAAATGGAATGAAAAGTCTTGGATTTAGTAGTTAACAGATTATTGGTAGCCTCGGGAGTCATTTCAGTTGAGTGTTGGGGTCAGAGGCCAAATTGCCAACAGGTTGAGAAATGTGTGAGTGAGAAAATGGAGGTAATTGGTCCTGGGCTTCTCATACTTTTTCTACTCATGACCCCTTCAGCGACCTCTTCAGTGCTTCTTAAACTGTGAGTCATGACCCCATGTGGGGAATCCACAGTTTAAGAAGCATGGGTAGACGATATTTTCTATGCATTTGTCTATGAAAGGGGAAAAGATACGGGATGATAGCGGGGATGGATGGCAATGACAGGTTCTTGAAGGATCAGGGATGCCTCAGTGTGCTTGTGGACAGCAGGGAACAGCCAGATGAAATGGAGGGAAGGAAGGTGAGAGAGGAGGGATGATCAAAGGGCAGTCTTTGTAGAATGTGGGCACTGATGGGAGGGAGTGGAATTGAGGGCACCAGGAGAAGTTGAGGCCTCTTCTCTCCCTCAGAGATCTGAAGCAAAGGAGGTGAGAATGGCGGATGGCCTAGAAAGAGTGTGAATCCTAGAACTGGAAAGAAGAAGGGGGCGTGCCGTGGGTGGCTTCAGTTTTCTACTTGAGTAGGATGTGAAGTCCTCTCCTTAAAGAAGGGGAGAGAGTGGGATGAGAAGTTTGAGGAGAGCAGAGAATGGAACGGTTATTGCAGGTAACACGATAGTCAGGAAAGAAATAACAGGGTGGCTGTGCAGCCAGGTGGGTCCAGTTCAAATTGGAGAATGAAAATTTGTTGGGGACTCTGTTATCATAGTTGTGTGACTTTCCCTAGTCTCTGTCCATTGTCTCACCCGTGGCTACATGAGTTCAAGACGAGGTAGATATGGGTAGGCAGCAATTCATCTGAAAGATCTGGGGGTTTTAGTGGACGGCCAGCTCACTGTGAGACATCAGTGACCTGGCAACCAAAGGAAGCTAATGCTCTTTTAGGCTGCATGTAGAGAGGCAGGGTCCAGGCTAAGAAGGTAACAGGCCAGCTTTGTTCTGCCTTGGTCCAACCACATCTGTTCAGTACTGAGCAGCACGTTTTGGGAAGGGCACTAACAAGCTGGACAGTGTCCAGAAGAAGGCGACCAGAATGAAGAAGAGATAAGAGGTCACACCATGGGAGGATCACTTGGGCTGTTTATCCTTGAGAAGATGAGACCTATGATAGGTGTGGGTGTGGTAGAGCCACACTACAAAAGAGGAAGGAGCCTTGTTCTGTTTGGTCCTGAGGGCATGACCAGGAGGGGAAGGTTCAGAGAAGCAGCCTGAGGCTCCGTGTAAAGAAAAACTTCCTAAGAACTTGAACTCTCAAGGAGTTGGTCCCAGCAGAGGTTCTCAAACTTATTTGGCCTACCATCCCCTTTTCAAAAACAAAATTACTCAGTGCCCCCGTGGAAATCTACTTTCTTTAACCCTTTAATTTTTTTGGAAATTTGTGTCATTTAAAAAAATATAAAATATTATTTTAAAAAATGATGCATTTAAAATTTAATAATTTATTATAAATTTGTGGGTTTTTTCCTGCACTGGCATTTTGGTAATGCAGGATTGTGTCATGTAACTGATAGTATCATGTTGTAAACAAGTTATTACTACATGCATGTACTCCTGCTGATGCATTCTGGACTTCTGACAATTCGTAACATGCTCACCTGCCAACACTTGCTTGTTAAGACCTGTTGGTGGACTTGACCACTATCAGTTATAACTTGCATTTTGGAAAGTGATGTAATCACTACAACAGATGAAATGTATAAACGCTTTTTCAAAATTTTCTTCTCTTCTTTCCTTATGCTTTCACCACCCTTTATTTTTATTCAGTGCCCCCCAATTGCACCCAAGGCTACTACCGCCCCCCCCCCCCCCATCATTCCAGTGCCCCTCCATGGGGCAGTATTGCCCACTTTGGGAACCTGTGGTTCCTAAGATGGGAGATCACGATAAGGTCTAAGATTAGATTGAGCGTGTAGGAAAGAGGGAAGGTTGGAAGGATAGGAAATTGTGATCCAAAAGTAGAATTCCAAAGTTGTAGATCTTGGAGGTTGGTGTATTTCTGAGAGATTCTGTGTTGCGGTCAGTGTGTGTCTAGAGTGGGATGGATAAAGAAAGTATTTGGATCTACAAAGGTTGAGGAGCTCAGGCGTCAGATTGTTAATGGGATGAGTGGGGGCAGAGTGGCAAATGCTGCGCTTCAGAAAAACGCAGGAAAATCACCTTGAGGTTGGTAGTTCAGAGTAACAAGAATAGGGAGAGAGTGCCCAAAAGGGATTCAGTGGACCTTGCCAGGGGAGAGGTCACAGAGGGATGGGGGAGAAGAGTGCTCTGGAACTGGCAAAGAGAGGGAGGACAGATGGAAGCAGCGTCAGATCTTACATTCTTGGGCTCAAAGATCACTGCAGAAGGCGGCTGCGGCCATGAAATCGGAAGATGCTCGCTCCTTGGAAGGAAAGCTGTGGCAAATCTGGACGGCGCGCTGAAAAGCAGAGACGTCACCTTGCTGACGAAGGTCCGTATTGTCAAAGCTGTGGTTTTTCAGTAGCAACATATGGCGGTGAGAGTTGGACCATAAGGAAAGCATAGCACCGCAGAATCGATGCTTTCAAATTGTGGTGCTGGAGAAGGCTTTTGAGAGTCCTTTGGACAGCAAAGAGGTCAAATCAGTCGATACATAAAGAAATGAATTCAATCTATTCGCTGGAAGGTGAAATGCTGAAGCTAAAGTACTTTGGCCTCACAGTGAGAAGAAGTCGGAAAAGACCCTTATTTTGGGAAAGATTGAAGGCAAAAGGAGAAGGGGACGGCAGATGATGAGATGACTCAATAGTGTCGTGGAAACAATGAACGCGAAATTGGACAGACTTCAAGAGATGGGGGAGGATAGAAAGACCTGGCATGCTTTGGTCCACGGGGTCACGAAGAATCAGTCGTGCCTGAACCACTGAATAACAACAGATTGTAGGAAAGTTTGTGGAGAAGAGTGAAAGGATTCCAAAAAACAGAGTAGAATGGCCTCTGTGATGGGTAAACTGGGTGGGAGTGGAATTGGGGAGGCATAGGGCTGATTTGTAGGATGATTTTTAGTTGGGGAGGAGTTAGCAGGAGTGTGCCTTTTGTACTTTAGGCAGTGAGCCTGGGGGCCTGGGATAGAGATGCATCCATCTATAGCAAGAGATGGGTTACTGTGATGGGTGCCTTTGGCCTAATTAAACTTACTGAGTTCATCCTCCCCATAGTTGGAGAATACACCATCTTGGGAGACAGGGCTGTGCCTCGAGCTTCCTGGTTTCTAAGTACTTGAGTAGGTGGAGAGTTCTGCTGGCCGTTCTTGCCACTGTACTGCTTGGGAGGGACTGTAGGTGACCCCGCATTACGCAGTTGAACTCGCCACAGCCCTGGTGGTTACTCATTATTGTCTCTGTTTGTGTGTTGCACTGCCTAGGATTGTTAGTACCCAGCTGCCACCGTCCCTCACTGCCAAAGTCCTTCTACATCGAGCATCATCTCCTAACAAGGTACGGTAAGGTGTGGTGTTTGGGCTGCTTGGGCCTTCTCTTTTCCTCCTTGAAACTGGCAGTCGCTAGAGTGACTAATGCTAGGTGGTGTATTTACCCCAAGCCATAGTTGGATAATCGGCTTTATCTGCTTGAGTTGGAAGGGACCCTAAAGGTTTTTCCTTGCGGCATTTCACACAGCGCAGGCACCCAGTCCTGCCCCATTACTACACTCTGTCCACCTCGTGTTTCTCAGGAGTAAAGTCACTAGAGCAGCTGAGAGGCAGTCTTACTAACTCACAGTTCTGTAGAACTGGAAAGTTTATTAAACGTGCCAATAACCCGGCACCCTCATTTTACAGATGAAACCTCTGAAGCTCCAGGGAGCAAACTGATTTCGCCGAGGGCAGGTAACCCAGCTGGTAATTGCTAGAGCTGGAATTTGAGCCAAATTTTGTCGACTACTAAGTTGAGTGGTTTTTCCACGTCACCAAACTGTGTGGTGGCCCTGGTTGGTTAGTTCTTCACATCGGGCAGGACTGAGGAGTTTGATTTCCCCTGAGGATTGTTGTTTGTCCTTTGTTCTTGAAGAGGACCACAGCATCAGGACGGTGATGTCCTGACGTGCGAGTGAATTGAACTTAAGGAGGGAGGGCTGTGCAGAGTCACCAGCCTCGCCCTCTCCTCCGGAGCCGCCTGGGCCCAGTGGCCGGATCTAGATCAGGATGACTGGAGATGACCCTCCCCGTGAGGCTGCACTTCAATCTCTGATATAAGAGCTGGTGCAGTTTGGAAGAAGAGCTGGGTGGCTTACACGCTGTTTTGGTGTTTGGGTTATTTGCGGTAGGAGAGGGGGAAGACAGCTGAAGGCAAGTTCTGAAGCCAAGAGCTCATTTTACCTGTATTTCTCTTTTCTCTTGTTCTAACTTTCATCGTGAAAATTAGCTTGTAAGTAGCAACACGCCATGTAATAGCCAAACACTCAAAGTAACTTGGCTATCCAGCGACAGCAGTGTGGCCGAGCCATTCGTGATGTGTGAATGGGGTGGAATATTATCGCATTGTAAGAAACAACAAATGGGGAGGTAATCCTGGAACCCCAGAGGGGCCTGGGTGAGAGGAGGAAGCAAAATCAGTCAGTCTGCCCACCCTGCCTGTGATTTGTGAGGAATAACCCAATTTGAAACACACACACACACACACACACACACAGAAGGGGAACCTCATTAGAGTTAATATACACAAAGGTAAAGAGTGAGGTTTGTAAAAAGAATCCACATGTGAGACAGACTTGCTCTTTACAAACGCGGTGTGAGGCAGTGTGGCGTAGTGGGCCGAGTGCCGGCCTGCTCTGGGGACGCCTGCGCCTCTGCTGTTGGCTTGACTGTTGAGTGACCTTGGTCAGGTCTCTGCGGGCCTCACTTTTCCTACCTGCACAATGACAGGAGCGGCTGAATGATTTCCAAGGTTCCTTTTAGCTCTGACATACTTTGACTTTTTTGTCCCGGTAAAGGGCATTTACCAGAGAGAACTGTTGTTAGGCTACATTATTGGTTGCTCGCGTGAGAAAGCTCTGGAAGCCCGGACCCCCACGAGTCCTTCGCTGCTGGAATGCTCACCTGTGCCGGGCCTGGGGCCTGTGTCCAAAAGTAGAGTTTCTAGGTGAGGGTTTTTCACGGCATGACAGAGAATGCGGAGTTCTGATAGCAATGCCCCAGCTCTGCCTGTCAAGGAAGGCTGATGGCGGGCCCTCCTCCCTGGCCTGTGGCGGTTCTCCTTGCCCAGCACCTGCCACGCTGCTGGCTGAGCAGCTTGGGCGAGCTTCTGTCCCATCTGCTTTGCTCTTGGTTTCGACAAAGGATGGACTCTGTGCACAGTTGAATTTTGCGAACAGATGGTGCGGTGAATTCCTGACGGTTAGGTCAGGCCCCAGCTTAGAGGGAAAGGGGAACGGCACCGAGAGCCAGCCGATGTGTGTTTCTTTTCAGAGTCTACCTGCAGGAGGGATCGCCCTTCAGGAACATGGTAAGTGCTTTGATCCATTATAGTGTCTCAAAGATGGCGGGCTCCTCTGCTCCCCCAAGCATCATGTTTGGCTTTAAAGGCTGAGCAGCGTAAACGGTTGTTGCTGCGTTCCCATATGCCCACTTCATCTGGTCACAAGGTGGTAGAAACAGATGAAGGGAGGCTTCCTCAAGAAAAGTGTGTCTCTAGATCCTGGTTTCTAAGCTCCATGTTTCTGGTCTTCCTTAACTCAGTTGTCGTGACAGTGTCCAGGCAGCTTCCCAGAGGTGGTTCTACTCCCATCCCTTTGGGGTATGCCTGAGGGCAGAGGCCAGGGTACCTCCAAACTAGGGTTTATAAGCCAGCTCAGGAGCCAGAAGTGGTCCAGTTTCCCCGGCCTCTCTTTCAGTGAAGGGAGACTCCCACCTACCCATAACTTGTCTTTGTTCAGCTGTCTCCTCCCAAGAAGCTGCTTGTTTATTCCCTCCCTGCTCTTTGGTCCCCTGGACATTCGAGGATGCAGACACAGTCTGTGGCTATTGGCCTGTACTGTACATCCCGGGCTGGGAACTCATTCCAAGTTTGACTCGTAAAGGTTTATTGTGTGGGTAGAGCATACCCCCTCCCCAAACGAGTGTGAACACTCTTTATTTACTTTGTAATTCTAGGTTGTGCACTGCCGGCAAATGTCCAGATCACTCCGGTTTTCCTAACGGAAGATGAAGCTGTTAGCCTTCGCGATTTCCCAGTAGAATGGATGACCAGGTGGGGAATTCAGAACAGTCTAGAAAATCACTCCACTCTGACAGACGTCCAGCCCCTCGTGGGCCACTTGGCCTCCCAAGAGGGGTGAGTGCAGGGTTTTGTAGCCAGACCCACAGTGCTGACCGTCAGAGCCCTTCTGTTAACTTCTGATACTGTAGACAGGGGCTGTCCCATATTCACCACAAGACAGTAACAGAAACTCACGTTTGTACAGTGTTTTTAAGGTTGAGCAAGGGTTTTCCTCACAGTAGTCCTGTGAAGGTAAGTATTGATATCATCCTCATTCTATGGATGAGGAAGATGAAGCAAAAGAATACTTAAGGCTTTAGCTTTTAAATCTCCTCATACTGCTTTCACTTAAAAAAAAATAGCTCTTTGTTGTAAGAGTAACCATATCCCTTCATGTGGCACTGTCCCCACCGTGGGGCACTGTCCTGTTTTCATAGCCTTGCTTCTCTGTGTTCCCATTACCTGTGGGCACCTGCCCAGGGAGTGCCCTGGTGCCCTGCTGCCTTCTCATTAGTGATTTAGGATGATAATAACTTAGCTTTCTTAACTAGTGTTCTGCTCTCTGAAACTGGTGGATATCTGGTAACGTCCCTGACGTTTTGTCTGTTTGCCAGATCTCCCACATCATTGGCCAAATGCAAAAAGAAGTCAGAGCCACCTGCTCCAAGGTGCTGGAGCTCCTTAGGATCTGAAAACGTCTGCAATGAGGATTCCCAGGCCTGGAAACTGGCAGCAGCCCTGGGGAGTGACTCAGTTTGTCCAAATGGCCCAGGAGAAGCATGTGAGGAGCCAGGACGTTTGCTCGACCGTAACTCGGGGAGTGTCAAACCACCAGGATTACAAAGCCCTGTTAGAAGCCCAGGGTCAGAACTCGGCACTAGCCCAGGCAGGGAGCCCACTCTGCATTCCTCCTCTGTGCTCCCCATTCCGGGAGGGAAGGAAACGGAGAAATCTTCAGTGAATTTTGACTTCCCACATGTGTGCGCCTCTGATGGTGGGAATCCGTCCCAGGAGAGTGCTGTTAGTCTGGACCCAGCAGTGGCAGAACGCTGCTTCCTAGCTGGATCCCCTGGCAGTCTCACGTGCTGCCCTCCTGAGGGGCTCACACAGACGTCTGTGGAAGTGCTCGGTGAGGACGGCTCAGGGAGTCACAGCCAGGTCTGCGTTCTTGGAGGTGGCCATCTCCCCGATGGGCCAAGCAGCCCATTGTCATCGCCTCTGTCGGGCTCTAAGCATGTAAGACAGACGCCCTTAGCTGAAGCACAGGGTTCTGGCCAGTCTGCGGTAGGGGATGGCCCACAGAAGTCAGCCCATGGTCTGGAAGGCCGGTCTGGCTCACTGGGGTCTCGGGGCAGTGACTTCTCTGCAGATGGAACCAGCTTGAGCTTCCCTGGGACGGACTCTCAGTCCATGCTGGTGAAGATGCATCTGTACACGCACAGTGTGAAGGGGCTGGTCTTGTCCCTGCTGGCTGAGGAACCACTTCTCAAGGATGGGGCGGTCATCGAGGACGTGGTAAGTGGGAGGAAGAGGACAGGCATAAGCATTTATAGAGCGCCGCCTACATGCCAGGCACTGTGCTAAGCACGCTACAAATACTGTCTCATTGGATTCTCACAGCAACATTGCAAGGTAGGTGCTATTATTATCCCCATTTTACAGATGAGGAAACTGAGGCAAAGGTTGAGTGACTTGGTGGGATCAAACAGCTAGTAAACGTCTGAGGCTGGATTTGAACTCGGGCCTTCTGTACTACAGGCTCAGAGCACTATCCTCTGTGTTGTACAGCTGCCCCAGTGATCCTAGGAATAACTGTTTTCCTTTAGGGGTTAGAATCGTGGGAATCGGTGTTAGCCAGGGACCTCTGAAATCATCTCTTCCCATGTTCTCATGTTACCGGAGGAAGGGATGGGTCCAAAGACTTGAGCTGCCCAACCTCAGAAAGGCAAGGAGTGACAGAGCTTTCCCCTGGGAATCCAGCGCTCTTTCTAGGCTACTCCCCCCACCCCCCCTTGGTGCCTCATCTCCCTGGGGCTGAGGGGCTGCCCGTGGCTGCTGCTGCTGGGCCCTGCAGGTGGCAGGAGGCCCCCCAACATGGGCTGATTCTCCTCACTTCGCTTGTTTGCTGTGTGGAGCTGGCACCTCCCTCCCACCGCGCCAGCACGGGGTCTTGGCAGGTCCAGCAGCCTCTGACGTGGTAAATCGTGGGAGAAGTGGTGATGGTCTGCCCATCTTGCTGTCGGCCTGGCCAGGATGGTCACGTTTTCATTAAACGCTTCCTCCCCTCAGCAAAGGTGGTACATTGACCGATGGGGCTCCTGCATCCTCGAGGCCTCTGGGGGAGTAGGACTGTGGGGAAGATGTCAGTTGCCATGGTAACAGCCTCCTTTAACTGGCAGAGAGTGTGGTGGCATCAAGAAACTGCAAGTCGAGATCGCTGCAGGGCGAGTGGTGTCCTGGGGCCTCCCTTGTTTTTGTTCTTAAATCTCTATTATTCTAAGCCTTGCTCATTAGCATGCAGAGCTTGTGACCCTCTGGAAACGGGCAAGTCACCTTGCTACATAATTAGGGGGGAGGCTGCAGGGGCCCTTCTCTGCACAGAGGTGGAAGAGAGACAGCTTCTTCCCTCCCTATGCTTTGCTCACCTCCAGGCACAGGCTAACGCAGATGGAGCTTGCCCGGTTTCCCCTTGCTAGTTCCCTCTGCTTGGGTAGCAGTGACTCTGTGTGTGGATGACCCATTGAAGTCGTGACTACAGTTCTGTGAGTCTTATTGAAGAGTACTTGGCTTTTGGACTAGTGTGCCACTCGCTCGGGGACATTGGAAGTGTCTCTTAGGGCCTGATGTGTACCCACAAAACATGGAACAGCAAACCGTCATCCTTCTGCTTAGGGAGAACAGCTTTGTGGAGTAGATTAAATCCCTGGAATGATATAAACTAAATCCCTGAGGGTGATGCCGGTGTCAGTGGAATAGAGAAAAATAGCGTACTTGTATTTTGGATCTGAATTCTTAAGATCTGTCTGTGCCTTGTTATGGCAACCAGGGCCATGACTGTTATATAAAAAAATTAAGGCCCAGCATGTAAAGGGACACCTGGGGCAAGGGCCTTGTTTTATGGTACTAGATGTTCCTTGAAATGTGTGGGTTTGGTGACGTGGGCTAGTGGTCGCCGTGGGCTGGTCATCACCGTGGGCTGGTCACCGTGGGCTATTGGTCACTGTGGGCTATTGGTCATTGTGGACTCGTCACTGTGGGCTAGTGCTCACCAGGGGCTAGTCAGTTGCTAAGAATGGTGGAGAAGAGCCACCTTGATCATCCTACTTCCTGAGGAGGTGGTCACAGCCAGCGAACTCAGCAGATGCTGAGCCTGTAATGGGAGGGCTCCTTTGATGCCTCCTGGGTTGGGGACCTGCATCTGAAGTGCTTCCACTCATTCCCCCCAAACTTGTGGCTAGAAGTTCGCAGTTCTTTGGCAGAATGTTAATAACAAGTGGGGACGAGACTGTGATCATTCCCACCTTGGAGAGTTTCTCACTGATTATTTTGCCTGCCACCCTGGAGCTGTGTTTGCAGTTAGCTGTTCAGGCTCGAGGTGGCTTTGCTTACTCCTTTTTGAGTGTGAAAATCTCCCAACAAATGCTGGAGGTGGGGTTCAAGGAAAAGGGTGCAGTGGAACAAGGACAGCACCAGGGGGCAGCATGAAGCTGCCATAAATGACCACAGTGCAAGTCCTAAGCTCATGGTGAAATCTCTTCCTTTGACCCTCCAATCGAGAATTTAAATGTGAGGTCAGGAGTGTTTGAGGGAACAGAGCCTTTGTTGGAATTGGTGTATGTAGTTTTAAATGAGCATTTATATAGTTCGTGTATGTTATGGGGAAAGAATGCTGGATTTGGAATCCAAAGCCCTGGGTTCTGATGGTACCATTCTGTTCAGAAGATGTTCTTTGGAGAGCTTGTCAGTGCCCAGAGGTCCTTCTGGTCAGTGGTGCAAGCTACTGGTGCAGTGACATCACTGTCTCTGCCTGGTATGGACTGGGAGTCAGCATTTCTAGGGTTAAATGTCAACTCCAGCATTTACTAGCTGGGTACTGGGCAAATCACGGAATCTCTTTGAGCCTCAGTTTCCTCAGCTATAAAATGGGGATAAAAATATCTGCTTTAACTACCTCTCAGTGGTGTGATTCAAATGTGTTGTGTATCTTAAAGCTCTCCCATGTATATGCATGCAAATGTTCTTCCGTGCTCTTCCACGTAGGAGTCGTGCTTTGATTCGAGAGGAGATTCAGTTGCCGTGTACCATGTAGTTCAGAAGCTCCCAGTAAGGCATTCACTATGGATTTAGTTTTTAATCATAAGAATGTGTCTCAAAATTGGTTCAAACAGCAGGCTATTTATTGGTCCCTCTTCGTGGTGTTGAGGGCTGCAGTGTAGAAACTGTTTTCTTACGAGGTTGGCCTTGTCACTTAACCAGGGTTTATAGATGGAGTTCATTTAGCATTTGATGCGTTAATAAAAAAGATATGCACAAGAAAGACTGTCTGTAGCAAATCCTGAGCTGTTGCTCTCCATGAGAGATATGATCACAGGGAAAAAATGGTGACCCCCAAGACATGGGAAAAAAAATAAGATTTAAGAATCTTCATATCCGCTTCCATCCTCATTCTGCCCAAGTCAGTGCACGCTCTACTTTTAATTCTCTCACACAGCTGTTGGAAAAACAGATGAACAATCAGGCAGTATAATCTCTTCATGCTCATTAAAGGCACACACATCATGCCGTTAGTGCTCATCTCACCGACTCTATGGGAAGGGACTGTTTGCGCAGCCACACTGGCTGTGCTTCTGTGCCCAGCATTCCTTGGGGCTCATTTGCTGGAGGAGCCACTGGGAGCATCTGTTTTCAGATAGAACTCCCCCAAAGCCACTGTTGCCATCCTGCACACTTCTATCATGCTTGCTGTCAAGCATTTGGGCCTAGTATTTATTCCGAAACTCCTGGTCAGGGTTGTTAGAAGCCCACATTAGAATTCCTACATTGTCGAAGAGCTATTAAGAGACTCCTTATGTAGACATCTGTAGGTAGTAATTGGCTCCAAAGGGGGGCTTTCAAGCTCGCTCTACCTCTGAAAACCTCTTTGGAGTTATGTCTTAGCTCCCACAGAGAGATTCAGATATTTGCAGGCTGTGAACCACATCACTGCTGCATAAAAACAAAACTTCTAAGTGACTGTGCTCGGAAAGAGGTTAACCAGCCCTTTCAAGCGATTTTTTCCATTGGCTTATCCCAGTATCACAGTAGCCTGGCGTCACTGAATGGTCTGGAGGTTCACTTGAAGGAGACGCTGCCCGAGGAGGAGTCCGCCACAGCGCGAGCTGCGTACAACTTTCTGCACTATGACAGCATTCAGAATGTGCTCACGGGTAAGGCGCTGTGCTGGGTCAGCCAGGGCTGGGCCTGGTAGAGGCCAGAGTTAGGGAGGTCACGTCACCCTCGACCCCATGCCTGAAATGTGAATGAAGACTCACTTGGGGCCCGGCACCCACCTGAGTTTGTGAAAGTTTCCCTTGTTGGTCTGGGGGGCCGGGTGGGGGTGGGGCTGCCTTCCCAATAGCCAAGGATCACAGAGCTTCTGAAAGGGTGTGGGGGTGGGGGGAGGGGTGGCACTCCATTGCAGAGTGATAGTTGAAAGGTCACTCTCCGTTTCTCAGCATTCAGGGAAGCAGACGAGTCTGGGCCTGGGCTTTCACTTATGAGCTGTTGGTCAGCTTACGTTTATTCTCTGACTTTGATTAAGGCATGTAGTTATTCATCTCTTCCCAAAGAGTCACTTCTGTGCCATCGTCTCTCTCAGGAGTGGAGGATTGGAGGAGGCTGGAAGGGGCAGTAGGGATGGCTTTGATATTTACACATTCATTTTTAACTTTCAAAAGCCAACCTGCCAGAAGCACCCACTTCCCAGGACCGACACCTGCTCCGGGCAGTCCGTCTGATTCATTCAGACTTCACGCAGATGCCAACTTTGTATGAGATGATAGTCAGGTAAGATTTCTGTCAAGGAGATGTGCTCTGCTCAATACTCATTGCCGTCCCTTCTTCCTGTGCACCTTCAGGACTCAGCTGAGAACCACTTCTCATGGACGGCCTTTCCTGACTGTCAGGGTCCCCCTGACCACATCCTTCTGAACTGTTAGTGCTCTCTCCTTTTTAAAAGTGCCATGTAGGTCCTTACCTGTGAAGCTAACGTGTTTTTGATGTGTTGTGTTCCTCCAGGAGAATGTTAGCTTCCAGAGAGTAGGACTGTCTTATTGTTCAGTCTTTTCAGTTGTGTCCGACCCTTTGTGACCCCATTTGGGGTTTTCTTGGCAAACATATTGGAGCCGTTTGCCATTTCCATCTCCTGCTTATTTAACATGTGAAAAAACTGAGGCAAACAGGGTTAAGTGACTTGCCCAGGGTGACTCGGCTAGCGTCTGAGGCTACATTTGACCTTGGGTATTCCTGACTCCAGGCCCGGTTCTCTGTGCACAGTGGTGCCACTGGCTGTCTGGACTATCTTATACGTATTCTTTATTTCTATCATCCAGGGCCTGGTGCAGTTCCTTGTGCATAGTAGGTTTTAAATAAGCACTTGTCGGATGACCTGTTAGGAAAGGAAGGAGGGAGGAAAGAAGGAAGAAGGAAAAGGAAAAGAAGGAGGAAGGGAGGGAGGAGGGGAGAGAGCAGTGGGAGGTGGGCCTCTCGTGCCATGTCTCTGAGGTCCATTTCTTCACCTTCACGGTGATGATCCCAGCCCCAGACTCCTCAGCGCACAGGGTGTTCATCCTTGGCTTTGGGTCGTGTGTGCCGGGAGTTCTTACCTTCTAATCTCCTGTTTGCGTTGTTCAGAGAGGAAACTGAGTCCCAAGAGGAGTTGGCATTTGTTGTGTTTGGCAGCCAAGGCACCGTCAGTGCCATCTATTAAAAAGGAGTGAGAACGGTTTAGTCTGTTTAATGCTTTCCCTCCCCCCGGCCTCCCTCTGCTCCCTTCACAGCCAAGGCCTGCTGTCGCCATCCCCTCTCACAGGGAGTGGTCTAGGCCTGCGCAGGGTATATACTGCTCCCAGGACCAGACGGGTTAGCCCGTATTTAAATAGAACTTACCATAATCAGTGTGTCTTCTTGGGCTTTCAGTCAAGGTTCCCCAAAGCTGGCAACAGAAATTTGTTTTGCTGGGTTGGAAACTGGTTGTTTGTGTGTGTGTGTGTGTGTGTGTGTGTGTATGTGTACGTGTGTGCGCACGCATGCATGTACGTGTGTGTGTGCAGTGCATGTATGTGCTTGGGTATATTACGAGTGTGCGTGTGTACCTTGGCAGATTGAACATAAAAATGAAGCCTGTGGCACCTATATGCCAAGCCCAGTAGGTCATTATTTGACTCTCTTTGGGCCCCTCACTATTTGAACTCCTTGGGGTAGAGCATTGGGGTCTGGTGAGAAACCTGGAGCGAAGAGGCTGGCAGCCTCTGGCATTTGGCATCCAAGGTGATGCTTTGCAGCACTTACACCGTTAATCCAATTAACGGCCCAGGAAAGTGTAGAAACCTCCCCTCGAGCGAGCTTTGGCGGGAGCCTCGGCTACACCCTCTGCAAGAGCCACCCCCCCAGGCTGGAGGGGAGACGAGCAGCTGGTGGTTTCCTGGGTCAGGGTTAGGCAGGACGGGGGGAAGTACAGGGTGGGGCATCCCTTCTCTTTTCTGAAGTCTTGCGCTGGAAGGCCGTTTGTCTAGGCTGAGCTGGCTTGTCACAATGCCCTCATTGCTTCAGTTCCTTGGACGTGGAAAGAATAGCGGATTGGGAGTCAGGACCGAGGAGGGAGTCCTGGCTGTGATGTTGGGGAGCTGGGGCCTAGAAATAAGGCATTTCATCTGATTGTGTTTCTTTACCCTCCAAACACTACTTATCCACAAGGTTGGCATAAGAAAGCTTGTGGTGACCTGGAGAGTGCTACCTAGTTTAATGTGGGCCGCTGTCCCAGGAGGCAGCATGGGGGGGTGGGGAAGTGCATTGGATTTAGAGTAAGGAGACCTGGGTTCGAATGTGCCCTTAGCTTCTTGTCTGTGTGATCATGGGCAAGTCATTCACGTTGCTGAGTCTCAGTTTCCTCATGTATAACATGAGATAATGCTGGTAGTCATCTGTCTCAGGATTGTTATGTGAAGATGCTTGGCAAACCTTAAACTGCCCTATAAATGTGAATTATTACTAGTTGAAACCCACAGGTTCTTTTATACCTCCACAGGCTCAGTGCCCTCCCAGCCTCCCCAGACCATCCTGGGTGGGAAAAGAGTCTCCAGATGCTCTTCTTTTCTTCTCTAGGTGTTAGTGAGTAGCGTATCTAGAGGGCAGGCCTTCTGTCCCCAGGCCACCTTGACAGTACCCAGGCAGTGGGGCTCTCCCTGGCATCCAGACTTTAAGTGACCATCATCTTTCCTGAACAGAGCCCCCCCGCCATCCCCACTTCCCACCCCGCAGTAGAACGTAAGGTTCCTAAGGAAAGGGGCCCTTTCATTTTGTCCTTCTTTCTTCATCACCTCACAGTACCTGGTTGCAGAGTAGGCCTACAACAAATGCTTGGCTGAATTCCTGAAAACCCAAATCAGGGCAGTTTGTATGTTATTGTATGAGAGGCAGCCTGGTGTAGTATCTGGGCTTGGGTTCAAAGCCTGTGCCTTATTGGACAATTACATGACTTCTTTCTGGGACTGTGTGTGCTTCTCCAGCAAGAAGGGGGTGGGCTAGCATGAGCCCCTCACGGGGCTCAGCCCTGTGGTTCTGCAGTCCGTTTCTCTTTGAACAGTGTACACTCAACTGTTTGTTGCTCTATTGCGGTCACCAGGGTTTTTCACGTGTGACTGGGCATGTCATTTCTGTCTTACTGGGCCCATTCCCCATCTGTAAAATAGGAGACTTGGTCTAGATGACCCCCAAGTTCCCTTGCAGCCCTGAAGCTTACTCTCCAGTCTAACAGTGACCATCACTAGAATTCTCTTTCGTGGTTGGGGATTTCCATTTTGAGGCAGGGACATCTTGTGACTGTCCTCATCTCTCTTTTTCTCTCCACTAGGAATGCCTCCACAGCAGTGTATGCCTGTTGCAGCCCTGTCCAGGAAACCTATTTCCAGCAGATGGCCTCCCCCGCTCGGAGCTCCGGTTTCCCCAGCCCCCAGGATGGCATCTTCACCCTCCCGGGCAAGGCCAAGCAGAAGCTGCTGAAGCATGGGGTGAACTTACTTTGAGCAGAATGGACGTGGGGCCTGCCGGCGCCAGAGAGGCCGAACTCCCAGCGTGGCGGTTCTGCCCTGCCCTGTCCTTAGGAAATATGTATGTTTTTAGGGTTCTGGGGAGATGTGAGGGGTAAGCCTTTGTTTTTGCAGAGCACATTTTTCCGGGGGCTGGGGTGGTGGTGGGAGGGTTCCCTTGGAGACCAGCAGCTTCCCTGTATCTGTCAGGATGGAGTCGGTCACCATAGCGTTGCAGGAGGAGGCTGCAGCCTGTATTGCCAGGCTCGGAAGGTGCCGTTTGCCATTTGCTGCTGCTACTCCCTGTCTAGTTTTAATGATTCTGTTGCAGGTGTAGGTTGGCCTCCTCTCGGTGCCTTGCTGTCAGTCGAAAGCTTCTTCTCACCCATTGGGTGTGATCATAAAAGCAGGAGACAGTGATTTATTTTTAACAGTTGGGCCAATATGTACACCTCAAGATAGGGTTATCCTCTTCAAAGTTGTCCCCTTGGGTTATCCTCTTCAAAGTTGTCCCCTTGGGAGACTGCACACTTGTTCCAGAGAAGTTGCCATTGCTTAGGATATTTTGGGGACTTCTCTATGGAATAGCTTTCAGAGCCTGCAGCACATTCTTTTGAGGCTCCTCAGTAGGGGCACATTCTTGTATTACGAGGAGACAAATTTGATTTTTGGAAACAACCATAAGCCGTATGGAGCCACCGCTGAAGAGTAAGGTAGGTGATCAAACTGGGTAGTGCTGCTTCTGGTAGAAAATGGCCATGAGCCAGGACCATGAAGTCAGTAATACTGTTGGTTTTCTCAGGTGTCCACATTACAAACAGGTTCTGAAAGCTCCCCTACTGTGTCCCATGCCCCCAAGTCCCCAGACATTTGGCACAAGGGAGTACTGTTAAGTATGGAGCCCTGCCTTCGTGATGAGGCCAGGATCCATCCAGGTGCGCTAATGGGGGACATCATCCCAAAGGATCAGCCCCAGGCCTTTCCAGCATCAGGGGTCTCGTCAGGAACAAAACAGCTACCAGAGACACAGCTCAATCTCTTCCAGCAACACTTCGAATCCCTCTTTGTTAATTGAGGCATAAAAGATCGTGAGGCAATGGACCAATGTATTAACTTTGAGGATGTGATGTTCTTATTTATAAACAGATTTCTACACCTGTCCTTAGTAGGTAGGCAGTTTAAAATGTTACTCTATCCCTAAGCCTAAACAGTAACACTCTAATTAACAAAGTTTATGAATCGACATGTCAGTAAATGTGTTTTGCAGACACTTTTTTTTCCTCTTTGTACGATTGTTTTACTACTCAAATAATTTGTCTCTCAAGAACAGCAGAGTCCTGGCTTCGGAATCATGTCATGTTGTGTCCTCCAGCTTCTTGTGACTGGGAGACCAGCTCCCAGGAGGAAGTCGGGCTGCTATGTCCTTCACCATAGCCGCCTGAGGCAGGTAGTGCTAGTACTATCCCCATTTGACAGATGGGGAAACCAAGATTCAGAAAAGAGAAGTGACTTCCTTGTCCATGGTGATGGAGCTACTAAGTTTTAGAGCCAAAACTTTAACCTAGTACTCCTGAAAAAAACATTTCTCATCCAGAAAAGAATGCTTTTTGAAAAGATTCCTTTTTGTGGTTAAATGTGCCCTGTACAAGTCTACTGAAATGCCCACATGCTCAGTCTTGGGGTGCTCCATGTTAAAATTCCAGTGTACCTTTTGGAGCTAGGCCCCTCATCTCAGCTCTGTGCCTCATGGCATGTTTGAAGACCGCTTCCACGGCACGAGACGGTGACTTGGTACACTAGCGGGCACCCGACTTGGGGAGAGCAGTCCATGCCTCGTCTGGTCTCGCAAGCCCTGTCCTCCACTACTTGGCGAGGGCGCATTTGCTGCCAAAGAAACTTTAAATGCAAACTGCTGTGATGCCTGAGAAACATCTCACGAGGGAGCCAGCAGTTTAGCCTTGTACACTTACTAATCAGATGTAAAACTGGGAAGTGAGGTGAATGAGGCCACAACTGGCTGACTTGTTTGCTAAGAGACTGACTTCACAGAACGTTGGAGGTGATTGAGAATACGCCCTGCAACAGAGCAGATGAGGACGTTTCCAGCCTGGGTGGAGCGGGGCAGACCATGCCATGTGGGGATGTTATGATTCTTAGGAGGTGTTTCCTTATATCCAGCCTGAATCTGTCCCTTTGTACCCTCCACCCGCTGCCCCTAGTCCTGCAACAGCATCTTCCCCACAACCTAGCCTGGTTCAAAAACTAACTGGGGTGTCGGTTAAGGGTAGAGCAGAGAGCCCTGATCTATGGCACTTTCTCGTTCCTGAGGCTAGGATTTCAAGTCACAGCAGATCATTCTATCAGATCTTGCACATGAGAAGCTTTTGGGGGAGCTGAAAGACCCCTTTCTGTCTTTGACAGAACTGATCAGCCTGTCCTAGGGGACTAAAGCCCAAGTCCATCAGAAATCAGAGGAATGCTGCTTTGCTGCCAACCTCTGCCTCAGAGGTTGGACCTATGTCAAGATCGTGGGGGTAGATCTTGGGAGGAGAGGAGAGGCCCCAGCTGTAGGGAGCAGTGAGGGGCCCAGAGTGAGAGAAGGAAAGGCAGTGACTTCTGTGGTTTGGGGCACGAGGCTCAGCTCCCACCAACGATCTCCCAGCTAGCCAGCCCTGCTTTACTGGGGTCATGCTCTGAACAATATCCAAAAGGGCAGACTGCACTGGCCCGGGCCCAGCTGCGTATCAGTGACTAGGATGTGGACATGCGCTAATGCGTTCCAGGACAATGGTTTTAAGAGGCGAGGATTATTCAAGTATCTAGAGAAGTAAACTATGGCAAGGGGGTGGGTAATAAGAGATTAGGATCAGCGGTCTGGGTGTACTTATTAATGGAGCATAAAGGAAATAATCCTTTTGTCTGATGCCTTCTGCCAGTGGTGCTCCAATCTGCTCAACTATTCTACTGCCATCTGTCATAGAAGGAAATTTATAGCCATACCTCATCTTGTTCCCAGTTTTACATCCATCAGGGAGCAAGTGTTCATGGAGGGGCGCCACCTCTCTGGGGAGATAGCGCTTCAGTGGGCATCCATTTTATTCTCAAAGAACAACCCTGGCCGCACATTCGGGTGATTCTGTGAGTACGGGTTTCCATCGTGTACTTTAAACTGCCTGTGAATTCCAAAGCTTCACCTGCTTGCTGTTGAGGACTCCCTGTCGTGACCTTGGCCAAGTGCCTTGGCTAGCCAGGCTTGCTCCGGGTCCCTTCGGGCCCTGACCCTGACACTGAGTAAGAGGCCACAGCGCCAGGAAAAGGGTGGTCTCGACTGGCCTGCTCGGTTTGCTTCCTACCTCTTTGCACGTCTCCAGCAGCAACATGAAAATGACTTTGGCAATTGCCTTGTTGGCATCACACCTTCGGATGGTGAGAAACCTCACAGCCCTGAGGCTGGTGCTCTTACTCCTTTTCTGTACTCTGACGGTAAATTAATTCACGCTAAATCTAAATGGCTGGTGAAGTGTCTTACAGCAAACACGGGTCCTGGTTTTCTGCAGACCCTTCACTATTTTTTTTTTTAAGAATAAAAAGCCAAGAGTAAAAAACAAAATGTTGCTGATGCCTGATGCTTCCCCTCTCCTGGCCCCACTCCATGGAGGTGGGGGAGGGGTGGGCCGCTCCCACACTAAAGCCCACCACCTCGTTTCAGTGGCCTCGGCCTCATCTGGAAGCTTGTGTTTCTGTCACCTTTGCCAGCAAGCCTCTCTGTGTAACTACTTTAAACTACTGGCCCCTCTCAGGGGTTCTGAAATGATTCATCATCCGATGGGCTTTTCTCTGCCTCTCTTTTAAATTCAAGTTTTTCCTCTTTGTTTGAAAATAGCAATTTTAGTGGCCTACCTTTCTGTCACCAGAAGCACCACATTCTCTGAGGCCACGCACTGCGTGATTAAGCCCGAAATCCTGTCCAGCAAGACCACTTCATTCTGGTTTTCAGCAAAGGCCTTTATTAATGTCTTGTTCCACATGACTTCAGGTAACCAGGTACCTATAAATACTGTTGGCTTTGTCAGCTCATCCCAGAGTATTCAACATGTGTAGAAATCATGCACCTCAGTTTTTCTTAGGTGTAAAAATACTTAAGGTGTATTTGAAATTTCTGCCTTTTCCCACCATCTAATTATTGAAAAAAGCATAGAAATTTTTCTTCTATTTAAACACTTTCTTTGCACATTGGCTAGTGATTAATGCAAGGGCCTGTTCACTGTTCTACGTGTGTTCTTCCTGGCAGCTTTCTGCTCAGAATGTTCCACAGGTATCTGGTCCCTGGCATGCTTTTTCTAGTGGATAATGTGCCTTGTTATTCTATGCTGGAACTTAGCTCCTTCCCTGTCTACTCCAAGTAGGACCCACTCTTTAATAAAGGCATTTAGTGCGGCTGGTGACCGAGGCTTCCCTCAACGGGAGACTGTCTCCTCACCACTTAACAACCAGATGAAACAACCCTGGCCTGCCAGACCAGCCTCCGGTCCTTTTGTCCAGATGCAGGACTGAACATCCTCCGGAGAAGGCTGGAGCTTCTGTGAAGAGGCCATGAGCGATTTGGGGGCTAGTCTACACCATGTCAAAATCAGTTAGCAGTGACAACTGAGCAGCCCGGCCTGGGTCTGGGCTGTTCACAGAGGCCACGCCACAGCCAGAGAGCAAACATTTACGCAACAGACAAGGAATGAGAATCATAGGCAACAAGACCCCAAAGCAGAACAGAGACTTTGGTCAAATGTCAGATTCCAGTTTTGCTGTGGAAGGACTTTCCTAGAATTTCAGTGACCAAGTGATTCCTTTTCCTCATACCCCTTGTCTACCTTTATCTCAAGCTGGCTGAAAAGAACTCACTCTGGGAATACTTTGTGCCTGATTTGGCAGTGGGGCTTCTGTAGGCAGTGAGGTAAGAGAATCACACCCTCTGGGCCTGGGCCTCGGGAAGCCAGGAGTGCGCCCAAGGGGACCAGCTTTAGCTCTGTAGGAAAGTGATGTTTAAAAAGTCTCCAGGTCCACCGGTCTAAATGCCCTTTGCCATCACCAGCCAAACAGCAGTTTAGGAGTGGTGCACAGGAGTGCCGTGTCCCCAGGTCCTGAAGCTGCCAATGCATTGTGCTCAGCGGCCTCTGAGCCCTGGGAATGAAGTCAGAATGGGGCTGGGTCTGGAGGCTGTGTCCCTTTGGCCCCCGGGGAAGGCAAAGGGTCCACTGTGGTCATGATCAGAACAGCAGCAGGCGCTAAGCCGAGCTTGGCAGCCCTCTCGTTTTGTTTCTCGTCTTTTTTTTGTTTTTGTTTTTTAAGATGACCACAAGAATTTTCACATGATGACATTCAACAAACAACCCTGTGGTAACTGAATCTTAACACTGCTAAACACAGGAGCAACATAACACAACAGGGGGACTGCATCTAGAGCCATGGAGTCAAAATAATGCAGGGTTTTGTCCAAAAGAAACCCCTGGAGCAAATGATTGGGGAAAAAACAAATCTAAGAAAATACAAGCTGGAAACTTCCATTTACAATAACCAGAGAAGAGAGAAATCCAACATGGCATTGATCCCAAAGGAAAGCTTTCCACTGAGGCAGGTTTGTGTCCGTGGTAATGCCACCTCAGCCAGGGGCACACTGTGCCAGAGCCCTTCCCAGGCCAGGCCTCTGTCCTTCTGACCCACGCCAGCAACAGAGATGGACTCATCGTCCTGGAGCAAAGATAAAATCAAGGGCTTGGCGTTCAGCTGCCGCCACATTCGGGTGCCACAAATCGACCATGAAAACCACTCGTGGCCCTTCTTCTGCTGAACCTGAGGAGAAAACAGGATGTAAGAGAATCGCAGAACATTGCAGGTATCACTGGTCAAATCACATTCCTCCATCCATATTGTGCTGTTCCTTGGCTCGCCTCTAGGCAGCAGATGGGTTAGTCCTGTCTCTCTACATTGCTTAAAGTGTTTCCATTATAGACAGTAACTCTAAAGCTTCCCTGCCAAGACATACTGCAAATAGTCAAGATGTGGAAGGACTTTGAAGGCAGTCCTGTTTATAGACCAGGAGGTAGGTAGATAGATAGATGGATTGTGTGGTTTTTTTTCCTTTGTTCTTGTAGAGGACCATGACATCAGGAAGATGATCAAGTGATTGATTGGATTTAAGTGAGGCAGGGCTGTGCAAAGTCACAAACCTCACTTTCTCCTCCAGAGCCATCAGAGTCCAGTGGCCAGATATAGATCAGGATAACTGGAGATGGCCCCGACAGTGATATATACACACATATAAATGTGTCTCTCTCTCTCTCTCTCTCTCTCTCTCTCTCTCTCTCTATATATATATATATATATATGCACACACACGTATTTTATATATATGTTATATCTGAGTCTGTTTACACATATGACTGAAAAAAAAATCACGTCTAAATCAGTTATCAAATTCACAGAACACCATCCCCAAGAAGAAAATGCTCTTTAATCATTTCCAAAATGTTTCCCAAAGCAACCTGAACCCAAATCTTGGTGGGAGGCATGGAGCCCTAGAAATATAAAGTGGAGCCAGGAAGGGTTTCACTTCTGAGAACCAGACTTTTAGAGCTGGAACATGGGGAAGGTAAAATTAAATCCACTCTTTCTAAACCCCAGTTGTGGGGAGGTACCCATTCTTCCTGATTTGTTGGGTTCTTTGTGGGGTTAAGCTCTAGGGGGACAAAGTTGGGTGGAGGGAAGATACTTGCCTTCATGGAATGCGGTGTGCAGAAAAGAGTCATCAAACAGGAGGCACCGGCCCTCTGCCCAGCACTGGGGCTCTCCTCCCACCACCAGCTCACAGCCACTGGGAGTCTTCAGACCTTCACATTCAAAACAGAAGAAAAGAGTGGCCATGATGCGGGAACAGCCAGAGATCAGACGGCATTCCACTTCAGCAAGGAAAGTATTTAAAAAGCATAACTAACCTGTTATTGTTCAGTCTCTCTACTACACCAGAAGGCACAGGTGTGGGGATGAAAATGGCAGATTCCAGATGGCAAAACTTGTTGTGACACAAACCCATTTGTCCCCACTAGACTATGAGCTCATGGAGGGCAGACACTGGGTTGTGTTCAGCCCTGTATCTTCAAGCACTGAGCCCTGGATGGGTGCCCAGTATTTGTAAAACTAAGTCCTTCTGATAGGGAATTCTGTTTATCGTATTCCAGATGCTGGCACCGTCTGGTTGGCATCTCGAGATGAGCTCTGATGGCATATGCATCACCTCCATAGGGGCCTAATATGTGACTTTCTCAACCCGAAGAGTTTTCCCTTGTCACCTACTGGGGAGACCTTGAAGGAAAGCCTAAAACTGTGGCCTTTCATAGGAGTGACAAATCAAGATGGTTGAAGGTCTGGGAGATACATAAAAGAAAATCAGATTAATAACTCAAACCCACGGGAATCAAACACAAGTGATGATGAAAAAGGCCAGGATGTCGACTGAGACACCAGGAGGGAGATGCTGAAATGAGGTCATGGAATTTACCTTTGTCTAGTATCTCTCATCTGAGTTTGAAGGAATCGTAGTAGCATTGTAACTCAGTTAAAAGGGACTTCAGAATTGCTATGACTCTAGGCAGCTAGGTGGTGTAATGGATGGAATGCCAGCCCTGGAATCAGGAGGACCTGAGTTCAAATCCATCTTAAGATATTTATTGGTCTGTGGCCCTGAGCAAGTCACTTTACCCTGTTTGCCTCAGTTTCCTCCTCTGTAAAATGAGCTGGAGAAGGAAATGGCAAACCACTCCAGTACCTTTGCCAAGAAAACCTCAAATGAGGTTACAAAGAGTCAGAGATGACTAATCAACAGGAAAAAAAAAAGCTGTAGAATGTTTGAATTAGAAAGGAAATCAGGTTTTATGAACCAGTATTTCCCCACTCAGACTATACTGCAGACCATGAAAACACTCAATTTCCCTTCCTCAGGCTATTCTAGCCTTCATAGCCTCAGCTCATTGACTTTCTGTGGCTCAGGGAACAGGGACCTGGGGAAAACAAAGACTGAGGGATGGGAAGGCCAGGATTCAAGGTGAGGAAAGTTTTTAAGTTGACAAGTTGTTACGACTTTTGGTAATAAGGATTTTGCAAACCAGTAAAAATTTGCTTTTCCAGACTACCTGGTAAACATTGATAGTCTTTGTCATTTATCAATGAAACCTTTACAGCCCATCCTTTTAATGTCTTTAATTATGAGTGCACGGGCTAGTCGTTTCTGGAAGGATTTACCCAGAAGGAAACCTTTCTTTAGATCCACACAAGATCATACAGAAGGGAGCCATAGGCAAGGATCTGGCACATTGCAGCTCTATTTCTGGCTTCACTGACTCACTATGGCAACTATGACTGACTAAGTTCTTTCATTTCCTTTCTGTGATTTAATTTCCCCAATAATTATAAGAGCCCCCATTTATATGGCACGTTGTACCGTATAAAGTGCCGTACTCAGAACAGCTCCGCGAGGAAGGCAATAGGCATTGTTCCCTTGGAAGCAAAGGGGTTTTTCTGCCATCACATACTTGGTAGATGTCAAGAGCCAAGATGAGGGCTGATGTCCTTCCAATTCCAAGCCCAGGATTCTTTCTACTACAGCCTCTCCTGAACAAAGCTGATGGAATAGATAACAACTCTTTTGCTTTCAGCCTCATTCTGTTGATAATACACACTGTGGTACAAAAATGGATGGAGCCCAGCAAGTTAACACATAGTAATTATTCCAATTAAAGCTAGTCTTATTTGTGAAGATAATGCATTTCTCAACAGCAGCCGACCGAATGAGCAGATACTGCCCACTGATGATGATGATGACGACGACTGGGATCACAGCTGCCCTGTGATGGATGCCCCCCTTGGAGGCAACAGGAGGCATAAGCCACATGGAGAAAGGGGAAGTTCATGGGTGTGGAAGCAGGAAACATGATCTAGGTGATACTGGACCACTCCCTGTGCCTTTCTGAGTCTCCAGTTTCCTCCTCATCAGATAACAGCGTTGGGCTTAGTGATCTTTAAGGTTCTTCTATTCTATAGGTCTAAGACAATCTAGCCCACTACTTCCTGACTCAACAGAAGGGTCATGGACAATCAAGAGTTCTAGGGATCCGCTAGTCCTGTAAACACTGGATAGAGTTCCAGGAACATGGCGGCGTCGGGGGTAGTCTCCTATACAGTAATTATCCTGCCCTCCCACTGGAGTGGAAAGGAAGGATGCTGTCCTTTCTCACGGTCTCTAAATGACTCATCACCACTCACCACATTAGAGCAGAAAAGCATTCCTGGCTTTGCAACTCCAGCCTGATGTTTCTTTTCTATACTTGCTTTCTTAGCTGTGTACCACTTCTTTCTGTTGCCAATGACATTAGCTTAGCTGGCAGAAACGATCCTTGCCCCACATCTCACTCCATGATTGGGTGATGTCCGTGTGCTAGTGTGAGGCGTCTTGGAAGCTGGCGAGCAACTCCAGGCTGCCAAAGATGGTTTTTCTCTCAGGGCCTTTGAGGTTTAGGAGTGTGCTGTTTTGTCTGAAATACTCTTTCGAAAGAAAGAACAGGGGTTTCTCTACCAACAGTGGATGAAGATGCAGTCAAGGCAGGAGGGACAGAGAAAACTCTGTGCTAACTGTTGTTCCTTCATTAGTCTGGGGAACTGTAGGTCTCCCTCAGGACCCAGGGTGGGCTGTTCTCCTGATCAGATCATACAAAGAAAAATGATCTTTAATTGTGTTTAACTTAAGTTTGATGAATAAAATCACATATTATGTGCTGTTGGCTGAAGCCAGCTTATATTGCCCTGTGGCCTTGGCTAAGGCTTAGCCTTCAGAAGTGTATCCTGCTTCACTGACATCTGGCTCTTTGGGCTTAACTGTTTGGGTAAGGACCTGACTCACTTTGGAGGTTTGCGGCAATGCAGTTGGCACATCTAGGGAGTGGCTCAGTCAGGAATGCTAGGTAGTATATGGGCTATCGGCCTGTGATCTCAGCCACCACCATCTTTTCTGGAGTCTGGGATGGGAAGAGTCCACACTCAGAGTCAGATAAGACGGGTAAGGCCTTGGCTTTGGGCAGAGCCCTTTAAGACGGACACACGTCCATCAGCCCTTCTGTCAAAGTCCTGCCCCTTTTCTAACACCAGGTAGTTTACATGTGACAGGGTGTGACAAAGGTGCAGAGGAAGCAGGTTCCTTTGTGGTTCACCCTGTGAGTTTCTGAGCTGGAGTCTGTCCCTGGGGACTCCTGTCAAGAGAGGCGCATATGACAGCAGGCTCTCTAGGATGCAACACGCATTTGGTTCCTGAGACAGCCTAAACCAAGAAAGGGAAAATTAATCCAAGGAATGAATTCCTGAAGAAAACTCTGGCTCAGCTGGCTACAGAGGATGCTGGATTTGTGGAAAGATCACCAAGTTTGGAATCAGTGGACCTAGATTTGACCTTGCCTTCACTGCCTACTACCTGTGGGATCTTGGAAAGGCTCTGGACTTCTCAGATCTTTCTTTCCTCAGCTATAAAATGAGTCTTGGGCTGGGTGACCGCTGAGGTCTAGCATTAAAACCTTTTGATCCTGAAAGTGGCACCCAGCCCCTGTTATGTAGCAAAAACCCAGTGACCGGATCTGTAGGGGACTTGAAATGGGCCTAATGTCTAACTCGGTTTTCTAGCAGCAAGACCTCCCTCATCTCTACACGATTGTTTAATGGGCCCTAATATCTTAACATGTGCTTGTTAACACACACACACACACACACCCACCCACCCACCCACCCACACCCCTTTTACCTTCTATCAAGCCTCAAGCTTCTCCCAACTCCAATCCATTTTCCCAGTGCCACCAGATGAACTTTTTCAAATGCTACTTTCATTCTAACTCTGGCATTCAAAGCCCTCTGTCATATAATGCCTACCTATTGGCCTGGCCTTAACTCATTATTCCCTTTTATAGATTTTATGTTTCAACCGAGCTGAACTGCTGTCTCCTTCCCTCTCATCCTGCCCGATCTCACGTCTGTGCTTTTGCATCCCTCCTACCTGGAATGCCTTCTCTGGGTCTTGAAATCTGCGTTTTCCTTCAAGGCCTCACTCAGAAGCCCCCTTCCCCCTACAGCCTTCCCTGGTTCCCTATGCCCTGCCTCCTAGCCTTTTGCAGATGATCTTTCTTTTCCTCAGGTCCGGCACTCACCCTTTATCTCTCTTTGCATTTAATATGCTTATATCAAAGTGATTTGTATTCTTGCCCTTCCCCCAGTGAAACAGAAGTCTTTTTTGTGTCTTCAGTACCGTGCACACCCGGGGCTTTGTACGTAGATGCTTAATGTTCACTGAATTTAATTGAATCATGTTACACCCCTCTTCAAACATAATGCTTCCCCACTGACTGTGGTCCAAAGTTCTTGGCCTGGCATTCAAGGCCCTTCAAATGTCTTTGTTAATCATATCTCACACTACTACTCCCCTACTCAAAGCTTCCACTTACTTTGCTTTCAGTGGACCTTCAGCATTTCCACCTCATGCCTTTCTCTCTTACCTGGAAAGACCTTTTTTCCCCCCGCCCCCACTTTCTACTACTCTGTGTCCTACTGAATTTTCAGGCTCTAACCCAAGCCCTGCTTTTTGCCCATGAAGCCATCCCTGACCATTCCAGCCCTCTCATAATACTTATGGTCTGTTCCACTCACTCATATGGAACAGTATAGACTACTTTTTAAAATTCCATAAGGTTTCACTTTCCACAAGGCTGGTCTTCCCCCAACCGCCATCTAGACTGTAAGCTTTCTGAGGCCACAGATCTGGCCACATCTTCCCTTGCTTCCCCTCCCTCCTGGGCCCCGGGCCCAAGATGGTACCCTGCATATCCTTAGAAGTCATGTAATAGATACTCAGTATTTGACTGATGTGAGGCAGCTAGGTGGCGCCATAGTGCATAGAGCACCAGGCCTAGAGTCAGGAAGACTCATTTTTGTGAGTTCAAATATCAGCGTCAGACCTTCCTAGCTGTGTGACACTGAGCAAGTCACTTCACTCTGTTTGCCTCAGTTTCCTCATCTGTAAAATGAGCTGAAAAAGGAAATGGCAAACCACTCCAGTATCTCTGCCCAGAAAACCCCAAATGGGGTCAGAAGAATCAGACATAACTGAAAAATGATTGAATAACAACAACAAATTGGACTGATGTCTTCTCTTGGGTCGCTCTTAAGTTTGAGAAGTTAATCCTCTGAGCTGTTCATTTTCCCTGCTCCTTCCTAAAGCTGATAAACTAGAAACAATTGGCTCCTGACAGAAGCTTCCCTCTGCTAAGGCTTCTTTGATATGTATCCCTTTCCAGGAATGTTAATAAGCCACATTGTCAATAGACAGCAAACTCCTTCTTACCCAGATGGTTGGGGAATGGGGTATTCTGATTATTGACTACTTCTGGTTATTCTCAGCTACCGCACTTTGAATAGCAATTTTCAAAAAATAAGAATGATATAGGCTGTCCCCATTAAATTATAATCTCCTTGAGGGCGGGGACTGTGTTTTGCCTCTTTTTGTAGTCTCAGTGCTTAGTATAGTGCCTGGCACACAATAGGTGCTTAATAAATGTTTACTGATTGATTGATTGATAAAGCCATAGTCCTGATCAGTGAGCTGTGATTTCATCAGCACGGGTGCATACACCTGTCCCATGGATGCAGATGATGATCTTCCCAAGCCTTAGAGCAAACCTGAGTGCAGTGTCTAAGTCAGGGGTGGGGAACCTGAGGCCTCAAGACCACATGTGGCCGTCTAGGTCCTCAAGTGCAACCCTTTGACTGAATCTAAACTTCACAGAACAAATACCCTTAATGAAAGGATTTGTTCTGGAAAACTCGGACTTGGTCAAAAGGCCGCACTCAAGGACCTAGAAGGCCACACGTGGCCTCGAGGCTGCAGGTTCCCCACCTCTGCCTTAGAACCTCCAAGAAGAGCTGTGGCCCCAAAGAACCCACTCCCCCCATGTCCACTTGCTCACAATTAATTTCTCCCACCTTAGCTAGGCTGATTCTTGGACAACACAGTCCAGTACTTCACCAGGACCCTAAGCTATGCTGGATGTAACTGGACCTTTAATGAGTGAGGATACACTTCAGTCTTTTCAGGGCCTCCGGGTTCTCACACACACACCAATTATCCATGTCCAGCATGGAGTAGTGGATAGACGAGTTCAAATCCCACCTTGGGCATGAGCAGCGCTGGCCGTGTTAGCTCACTTTTCCCAACCTCAGTTTCCTCACCTATAAAATGTGGTAATAATGCAGCCACTTCCTACAGTTGCTGAGGATTTAATGGGATAATGTGGATAAAGCACCTTTCAAATTTTAAAGACTAAATAAAAGCCCCAATTATTGTTGTTGTTTTCTTCCTACTAGTACTAGAGTGTGGCAGAGGCGTGGCTGAGAGGCCTCAATTCACACTGCATCTGGTGTATCCCCCAAAGATGATCTGACATTCCTGTTCTCAGCTCGCTTCTGCTCTTCTGCAGAGCAGCACAGGCCAGAATGGGAATTAGAATAAGCACGTGTCTGGTGACTTGAGCTTTCTAATTTGGATTTCGGATCAACACAAGTTGACTGTGCTTACAATCGCGTGCGTCCCTCCTATCCCAACAACTTACGTACCTAAGTGGCATCGAATGCGGATATTGGTAGGTCCATAGTGCTCAGTGATAACCGTGCCAGGACTCAGTACTGAGATGCACGCGTTCCCAAAGACATTGTTACCAATGCAGGTGCGGAGGCTTCCAAGCAAACGGTACGTCCGTGGGCATTTTCTGCAGTTCCTGGGAACACACACCCCCTGGTTCACCAAATAAAAGGTGAACCACTCCCCGCTAGGGGTGCTGTTCATTTTCCATCCTTGTGGAAGGCTGCAGTTGGAGAAAGCTTTGTACAGAGTCTCAAATTCACACAGAATGGTCTGGAAGTTGCGTTCCAACAGCTCTACGTCATGTTTCTGTGCGTCTCGGGAGAAATAAGGAGTGGTGGGTAAGTCTGGTAAGAAGAAGACTTCTGGTTTCTGGATGGACGGCCGGCTATTCAAGTAACGTCCTTGCTCACGGATGCCCTTATGGATCCTGCCCATGCCAGACCAGGAATATCGTTTTGCGTATTCTTGCAAGTTGTGATAGAGTTTCTGGTTAAGTCCGTCGTTGTGGGTACAACGCACACACTCGGGTGAGTGGCAGTACACATACCCGTTCTGCAGCCCATTGACATCGGCGCTCTGCATGAGGGAATTCACAGTGACGTAGGGCCGAGGTTGTTCCCGGCCTACGTGGTAACAGTACCAGACAAACAAGACCAGCAGGCAGGCCACCGTCGTCAGCGCCATGGTGTCACAGTCCCGCACGGACTGGATGCCGGTAGCGATACAGTCCCGGAGTCCATCCAGTGACCAGCTCCAATCCAGCAGCCACGCCACAGACATCTTTGTGCAGTTGTTGTTAGATGTATGTAGGATGGTCAGGCGATTTGTCCTCGGATGGCCCAAGGGCACCCACACCATGCAGGTCAGTACGGATGAGGGGGGGTGGCTTAGGATGGGGAAGGCATGGCTGCTGCTGCTCCCGGGATGCTGGTATGGCCTTCATGAACAAACCGTGTTATTGGTGGTCACATCTTCATTTCTGGCAAAAGTCATTGCCAGTTGAGTGGGGAGGAGTTGGTCTATACCAGGCAAACAGTCAGGTTCCAGGTCTCCTTAGCTGGGACAAGGCATTCTGATAAATCCTTGAAGCTGTCCAAGTCTGGAAAAAATAAAGACCTGGAAGCACGATAGGTTTCTCATGAATGTCTGAAAACATAAGCTCCTCAATTAGATTAGAGATTGATGGGAAGGAATGATTTCTGTTTCATAAATGCTTAGTTTACATTAAGTACGGTGTGACCGAATGTACTTGTTATGTGTTTTATTAGACAGGCCTGGATTCCAAAGGTTCTCAGACAGAGGGCAGAGGGGCTGTTTAAAAGGAGCCCAAGCTTTGCTTTCTAAGATTAATTACAGGATCACACTGCTGAAAGGGACAGAGGCTGTCCGCTCCAAACCAGAAAAGGAAATTGAGAACCAGACAAGTAGGGCGGCTCACTTGAGGTCGGCCAGCACCAAGTGGGAGAGTGGGGACTGGCTTAGCACCAGAAGGTTTGCAAGTCACCTTTCACACTGTCCCCTCTGAGCCTCACAAGAACCTGGTGACGTGGAAGGGTCACTATTATTCCATTTTTATTTTACCCACATTGGTCTGTCTGACATAGGTCCCCGATCATGCTTTTCTTGGGAATTTCTGAGAGAACAGCTAAGTCCTTGGTTTGAAACACACACACACACACACACACACACACACACACACACACACACACACGTGGATACATAGATATATACATACACATGGACAGGCGTGTATATAATACACATACAGACACATGCATATACATGTGAATGCACGTGTGTATATGTATAGGCATACGTGTATGTGTGTATATGTACATACATAGATGTATTCGCACACTTGTGTGTATGTATATGTATGTATATATTATATATGTGTATGTATATGTGCATGTATGTATGTAAATCCCAGCATTCCCTCATCTTCAGAGGTTGTGAAGGTAAGAAAAACATATAGGATGAAACATAAAGTCTCTATCAGCCAGGACAGCAGAACCGTCCCTTTGCCAGGAATTTTATCCCTTTTTAATTAATTAAATTAAGTTAAACCTACAGAGAAAAGCCATGTTGTTGCTTCACCCTCCCTTTAGGGCTGCTGGTAGCAGTGTCTAGACACACATACACACACACACACACACACACACACACACTCTCTCTCAATAAATGGTAAGTAACCATCAGAACACAATTTTTTATTGCCGAATAAGTTTATAAAGTCCTTGCCCTGCTCCCCAGGGTTCTTCTCCTGAACCCCAAGGGACCTACCCTGCTGGCTACATCCTGATGATGATATGACGATGTGATCACTGTCGATTTGCTAAGCAAAGTCATGAGTCACAAACTTGGAGACAAAACAAATCCTGTCAGAGAGAAGGATCCTTGGTCCCAGAAAGCTGCCTGTGTAAACAGGGAACTTCTCAAAACTGAAACTATCTGGGTGGAAGTTTGTTTATTTTAGAACCAAAGCAAATGGGGCTTTCCCTTGGAATGTAAATTTCTCGAGGGTATGGATGGTTTCATCCTTTGTGCCTATAGCATAGGTCCTGGCACACAGTAGGTGCTTAATAAATACTCGATTAGAGGCTTGCCGAGATCTTAAGCCAGCATTGAATGAATCCCCACTGATTCACAATGGGTTAGCCTCCAAATGTTCATTTTTTTCAGCTTTACAGAGAAGAAAGTGGAAAAATTTCCTTGATCATATTCTGGTTTCTTCCATGTTTGGGATGGATAAACAATGAGCTAAACACAAGGTCATCAGCCAGGCAAAACTATTTATTAAGCACCATGATATTTTTATTTCTGGGAGCCATAAAATTGGGGAGATTGGAAGAGAGCAGAAGCTCTTATAGCACTGGCCAAAGATTGGGAGCTGGAGGGGCCTTGAGATCATCCTGTTCAACCCCTTCATTTGACATATCTGATCTGGGATATTTCAGTAAAGAATACATAGAAAAGTAAATATGGGATAGTTGAGTATTGAGTATGTAAAGAAAATACTTTCTTCCCCTAAAAACCAAGGAGCAAAGAGTTTCATTCTGGGGGATCCTTTCATGCTTTACTAGATTCTTTCTGAGATTATTGAAAAGGAATGGGAGAGGGCAGGCATTTTATATAATGATTGGGTGGAAATAAAAGTTTTTTGGGCCTCTGGTATCCTCCCCATAACTCTCCTTCCCCCAGCCCTACCCCCACTCTACTGTTGTAGTTTGTTTCTCCTTTGGGGCAAGGAAGACAAATAAAGGTGAGGCCTTTTCAATTTATGAATTCCTTTCCTGGAACTGATTCCTGGAAACTGCATGTGGCCTACCTGAGAGGTAATAAGGCACTTTTATCAAGGAAGGACCATTTGGCTGAACCATAATGATCTGCTCCGATTTGGATTTTCAGTCTCTCTGGTGGGGAAGGGAAGCAATCCTCTAAAAGACTATTATTTGGGGAAAAAAATAATTTAACAGGTAGGCATCTACTAAGTAGAAATCCAAATTAGGCTCTCTAGTCATAAATATTTCCCAGGTAGGTGACTCGGTGGATAGAGTACCAGCCGTGGAGTCAGGAAGATCTGAGTTCAAATTTGGCCTCAAACACTAGCTGTGTGACCTTGGGCAAGTCACTTCACTTTGCCTCAGTTTCCTCATCTGTCAAATGAACTGGAGAAGGAAATGGCCAACCACTCTAGTATCTTTACCAAGAAAACACCAAATGGGGTCTTGGAGAGTCAACACAACTGAACAAATCACAAATGTTCCAACATGATACAGAAACACACTGGCAGAGATGTTGACCTGATTTTCATACATTAACAGAAGGGAGGGGTAGCACCTACAAATGTGGCCCATTTCTCCCCCCAAAAAGCAGTATCTTAGATATAGAGAGAAAGGCTGAAATGATAGATAAATGACTAGAGGGGACAAGAGGCCAAGATCTCCAATGCTGTGCCCAGAAGATCATAAACAGTCAGTGTGAAATGAGGACTTTTTGTAGCCATCAGTTGTTCTGGGTGACCGGCCAACTTAATGCCGTCAATAGCTAGCTGACCTTCCAATAGCACTTTCAGCACATAAATCATCCCATCTGATCATGACAGCAACTCTGTGAGGAGAGTCGCTATTATTATTATCATCATGCAGAGGAGGAAACTGAGGCTCAGAAGGTCAACAGACTTGCCTGGGAACACAGGATCAATGTCTGAGGCAAAATCTGAGCACAAGCCTCAAGTCTTGGAGTTGATAAGACTAAGTCCAGGGCTGTTGCTGCCATGCCCTGCTGCTTCTTAATTCACTGTGCTCACAATCAACAGCTAGGACATCAGTCTTTAATAATCCACAGGGCACAAGAAGCGACCACCTGAGTGACTTTAAGAGTGGGAAATAGAGAAAACTAAAAATAAATTAATTTAAAAAAATAAAATGACAAAAAAAAAGAGTGGAAAGTAGGTAAGTAACCGTCAGAATCCAGCCTTCCTTTGGAAGGAAACATGCATTTACTAAGGATCTGTCTGCTCTGTGCCAGTTACAATGCTATGCATTTTTACAAATATATATTTCATTGTCTAGACCAGTCTCCTCATTGGATTGATGAGGAAACTGAGGCCTGGGAAGTCTGGCACTTTCTTGGGAGCACAGCCCATCAGTGACAGTGCCAGAGCCAGAAGCCAGGCACCTTGACTCTAATTCTGGTGCTTTTTCCACTGTGCCACTGATATGGATTCGCTGAGTGCTTACAACTTGTGTTAAATCTAAGAATAAAATTAACCAACAAGCAAAAAAAAAAACAACACCACCAACCCAGATATGTATTTCATTTGATCCTTATAACAATCCTGGGAGGTGAGTGCTATTACCATTCCCATTTTACAGATGGTGAAACTGAGGGTTGGGAAGGTTTTGACTTTTGCAGGACCACATAGCTAGAGGAGCCATGGAGCCCAGATTCAAAGAGGATGAGATAATTTGCCCAAGGTCATGCTGCTCATAATAAATGGCAAGACCCACACTCAAACCCAAGCCTAGCTCTAAAGCCCGGGGGTCAAAGCATGATCAAGTCTGAGCCTGGTCTGACTAGGCTAGACTGGGAAAAGAAAGTCCACATCATTGGCCCATCCCTGGCAGAGAGGCTGCAGTTTGACCCAATCTCGTGGCTGCCTCTCCTGGAGCCTGTGAAAAATCTTTGTATCTCTCCAAGTGCTACAGTGTTTTGGGCATGACGACACGGACTCAATTCACACAGTATTTCACGGTTTACAAAGCACTCGGTTCTCGACAACCTGTGAGGCAGAGCGTCAAGATCATTAACCTGCTTTGGTAGGCCAAGACAAGGAGCCTCATGACGTTAAGGGACTTGACCACAGTGTCCCAGCTAGTGAGGGACAGGGTGGATTTCTGATGTCAAATCACTTCGTCTCTGTGCTTAATAAATGTTTGTAGCATGTATCAATGCCTGGTAACCGCTGCGGCTAACTGGTACCTTGTAGCTTAGACAAGGCTACTACCCAGGGTGGCATTCCTGGAGCCTTTCAACCTTGGCTCACCCTCTCTGTAGCAGTCTCCCCTCCCTTGAAATACGGACTTGGATAGCTTTCAATGCAATGGAGGGGGGGGGTCTTCCCTAAAACCAGCATGATTTACTCCAGAAGCACAGATTAGGCGCCTCACGCCTTGGGGACATACACCCACTCTTTGAGTACCAACTATGTGCAGAGCCTGGCATCAACATAACTGGAAAGGTTTGGCACTCAGAGAGGATGCTATCTAGGAGACATACTGTCTACCAGAAGCTCTCCATGACCTGTCTGGGGGCAAACTACAGAATCTGGAAGAAGGGCCCTTAAAAGACCATCCAGTCATGGAAGCACAGAATTTTGGGGCTGGGAGCCTCTGCCTGGAGCTAGCCAATGATTCCCTACTCACCAAGGCAGCCTATTATACTTTGGGATAGCTCAAATGGTTAGGAAGTTGTCCCTTCCATCCAGCCTAAATCTGCCTCTTGGAACGTCCAACCACTGCTGGGGGCTCTGGCTTCTGGGACCAAACAGAACAAATCTAAGCTCAATTGCATGACAGCCCTGAGTCTTCTCCAGGCAAGGCATCCCCAGTTTCTTCAAATGCTCCCATAAGGGTATGGATCCAAGGCCATTCTCCATGCTGGTTGCCTTCCTTTGGACACTCGGGAGCTTTTCAATGCCCTTCCTAAAGAGTGATGTCCAGAATGGAGTGTGCTACTCCTGATGCTTCCAGACCAGGACAGGGTAGAGAGGGGACTACTACATATAGACGAAGACTGCATTGGCTTTTTTGGGCTACCACATCACACCATTGACTCAAGTTAAGCTTGCAGGTCATTCAAATCTCCAGATTTTTTTTTTTAATTTAATACAAGCTGCTATCTACTCATACCTCTTCTGTACTTGTGATACCCATTCTTTGGACCCAAGTGCAAGAATGGACAGCTATCTTCACTAAATTTTACTCAGATTCAGCCCAGTGTGGTGTTCTGTCATGTGCCATTCCCTCATTTTTACAGATGAGAAAAAGGCCCAGAGAGGGTGAGTGACCTGCCTCTCGTCACAGAGATAGTAAGAAAAGGAGTCAGGCTCGGATCCCAAGCCCTTTGACTCCCTTCTGATGTCTCTCCCAGCTTGACTTCTGTAATCTAATGCCCCCCAAAGCCAGCTGCCATTCTGTAGGTTTGGGAGGTGGGGGCTTTAAGGGCCAGTCTAATTTTTCATCTCATTATAAAGCTTACCGTTAGGGAGCTCTAACCAAAAGAGGACAACCAAGGTGGGGGCAATCAGGGAAGGGGCAGGTCCGGAGAGGCCCTTCCAGAGGAAACCGACTTTCCCCTCCCCCATTCCTAGCATCTGGAGACAGAGACAGATAGAGAGGAGAGAGTAGGTGGGAAGGGAGGAGGCGGGGAAACGGGGAGATAGGGGAGGGGGAGAAATGAAACCAGGAAAGAGTGGAAGGGGGAAGGGAGGACAGAGGGAAAGGGAGAAGTGAGAAGGGGCAGGGAAGGAAGAGAGGGAATGAAGAGTCAAAAGAGTGGGGAGAAAAAAGAGAGGAGGGACAGTTGGGAGGAGGAGGAAGAAGCTGGGGAGGGGGAGGGAGGAGGCTGATGGGAAGGGGGAGGGAGATGGGGAGACAGGACAGTGATGGGGAGGAAGGATGGAGAGGGAGATGAGCAGAGGGCAATGGGAGCCGCTGACCCCTGGGGCCGGGCTGGGGGCTGGGGGCTGCTCTTCCTCTCCCCCCTCCCCAGCCCTCCTCCTCCTCCTCCTCCTCCTCCTCCATCCCTCGGGCGCTCCTCGCTCCCTTACCTGGCTCCGGCCGCGCCTCGGGCCAGGGGCTGCCTCCGCCCTCGGCCCGCCCGGCCTGGGGGAGGGGGGGTGGCTGGCCGCCCCCTCCTCCTCCTCCTCCTCCTCCTCTCCGCCGCCGCCGCCGCCGCCGCCACCGCCTCCCCAGCCCCGACCCCGCTGCTGCCGCTGCGCTCGCTCCGCGGAGCCGGGCGGGGGAGGGACCACAACTCCCACAATGCGCAGCGCAGGCCCCGGGCCGCGATTGGAGAGGAGGCCACGGGGGGGCGGAGCCGAGGAAGGAGGTGAGGGACGGGGGCGCGCGGGGGCGCGCCCTGCGAGGCGCGGGGCGCGGGAGCGCGCAGGGGGCTCCTGGGCAGGGGAAGGCGGAGGCACCACGAGGGCGCGGAGCGCGCGGGCTGGACCCTAGTCTGGGGGGCTCGAGGACGTGGGCGGGGGTCGCCGTGGCCTTGACCTTGAAGGGGAGGGATCCCAGAGCCCGAAGCGTCCGGTGCAACCTGCTCAGCAGCAGACCCAGCAGCCTCTGCTTGCGTACCTAGAGGGATGGGAAGCTCATGACCTCTTTCGGCAGCCATCCCTCTTAGGGAAGAAGAGAGGAAAAAGCGCTCCTCGTGAGGACCTTTTTCCAGACTTCTGGCCCAAACTGGCTGCTTTGCAGCTTTTCTGCCCATTGCCCTGGGGCCGAAAGAACCATCCAGCCGTCCTCCAAGTCCCCCCAAAGCTTAGCGCATTAAGGTTCTCAAAGCCCTTTACCAGTCTGATCTCATTGGATCCTCACAACAACCCCGCGAAGTAGGGCTATTATTACCCCCATTCTACAGTTTAGGAAACTGAGGCAGACAGAGACGAAGTAATTTACCCACAGTCTCACATCTAGTAAGTGTCCGAGGGAGGATTTGAACTCTGGACTTCTTGATTCCAGGTCCAGCAACCTCATAAAGAAAAAACAAAACAAAAAACAAATTTGAAAGGCTTTGGAACTCTGATTAGTTATTCCAAAGAACCGAAGATAAAGCAAGCACACTACCCACCTCCTACCAGAAGAGTGATGGACACTGCACCCCTTCGTTGCCTCCCTGTTGTTATTGTTCAGCCCTTCAGTAGGGACCCCTTGGACCATAGGACTCCAATACTGTCTATGGGGTTTTCTTGGCAAAGATATTGGAGTGGTTTGTCATTTCCTTCTCCAGCTGCCTCCCTGTAGGATCCTAAATAGGGGACCTGACATCTAGTCCAAGACATAAATGGGAAAATGAGATCTAGCGAATTGCCTCCTTCAGAGCTTGCAAGCAACTAAGGGTGAATTAAGTAGGAAGGACCTCTCAGTCTGTCTCGTATCCTGTCCTGCTGTTAGATGAATCATAGACCAGTCCTTGGAGCATCGGAGTTGGATGGAACCTCAGAGATTAGTGAGTCCATCCTTTCATTGGGCAGATGGGCAAGCATGCCAGAAGCAGAAAGATAGCATCCCTGTCTTCATGCATTTGAAAGGCTGCCTCATGGGAGAGGAAGTATCCTTGCTTGGCTTGGGAGCCGTAAGTGGAAGGAAGGCACAGAGAAGCAGATTTAGGTTGGACCATCAAGTGAAGCTTTCTTGAAATGAGAGCTGTCCAAAAGTGGAATGAGCTATCTCAGGAGGTGAGACGATCTTCAATTTAGAGTTGAACCTTAAGAGGTCATCCCTGGATTTCTCCTCCATGACCCCCTAACTGACTTGACCTTGATGCTGACTCTTCAAGAGTACTTCCTCTCTCTCCCCTTCCCACCCCCATTTCTGGAACCTGACTTCCTATCAATTCAACCCTGCCATTGCTCCTGGATGAGGTATATCTTCCTAGCCACCCCTCTAGTATGTGTGATATTTCCCGTTAGAGTGTAACCTCCTTGATGGCAGACACTACCTTTGCTTTTTGATATTTGTATCTTCTGTACCAACTTTGTACATAGTTGACAATTGATATATTTATTATCCATTCATTTATTCAACTCCATCATTTTACATTTGAGGAAATTAAAGTCTAAGGAGGTTGATCTTGCCCAAAGTAACAGAGTTAGTAAGTGATAGAGACAGGATTTGAGCCCAGATCTTTTAACTCCAAATTCAAAGTTCTTTCTAAAGCAACACTGATTCCTTGTCCCTTCCGATCTCCAGATGGAAACTGGATGGGTCTCCTTGCATACTATGCAGAGGATTCTCGTACTGATCAGAGTTGGACTACAAGACCTCTGAGGTTCTTTCCAACTCTCGGCAGTCTGTGAAACAATTGAGTAGCCCTAGATTATGTGGCTTGTTACGGGGAGAGCTCAAGTCTCCTAATTGCTAATCCCTCTGCTGCATGACCTAGGCTCTTCATTGGAAGCTCCATGAGCCAACACTCGGTCCATTTTTTGTCTTTCTTTGTATCCCCAGTGCTTCGCACAGTGCCTGGCTTGCAGTAAGTGCTTAATAAATGCTTATGGACTGCCTAATCGTCACTTCTCAATGCTAATCCTATTGCCTCAGTTTCCTCCTCTAAGAAAAGGTATATGGGGATGGGGGTAGGGGATGTAGCTGTGTTCATACTTTGTTATGGTCCACAAGCCACAGATAAAAACCCACTGTGGATTTGCCCAGATGGGCACAGCCAATGATTACAATTTAGTGTAAAACAGGAGCTTTCTCTTGATAAAGCCTTTACCTAGCAGCCAGGGTAAGTTCCCCACTCTGGGACTGCCCTAGGGAAGTGAAGGGACAGCTGAAGGAGGACTGAGAATGAGGAGGATGAGAATAAGACTGGTCTGCTGTTGTGATAGCTTTGATGCTCTAAGGAGACCTCTCCTTCAAAGTAGTCACTCCTAATACTTTGGGAGTTGCCACACTCTATCATTTCATAGTATCCTAAGAGCTTAAGACCATCTAGTGCCACCCCATCATTTGCAGGGGAGGAAACAGGCTCTGAGGGGTTATGGAACCTACCCAAGGTCACATAGACAGTGCTCCCTTCCACCTTTTTTTTTTTAGCCTCTATGTGTGTGTGTGTGTGTGTGTGTGTTTTAAAACAATCATCCCTCTTTCCTCTTCCCCTCTTCCCATTTGGACAACAGAAATCTTTTCCTAAATAAGCCTTCATAACAAATATGCATAGTCTAACAAAACAAATCCCCACGTTGGCCATGTCCCAAAATATGTGTCTCATTCTGTATCTTAAGTCCATCAGTCTTTTGGCAGGACGTGGGTAGTGTGCTTTATCTTTGATCCTCTAACATAATGGTTCAAAGTCTTTCAAAGTTGTTTTTTTTTTCTTTATACTGTTGCTGTCATTGAATAAATTGTTCTCCTACTCTTACTTCACTCTGCATCAGTTCGGGGAGGTCTTTCCAGTTTCCTCTGAAATTGTATCTTATGATGTAATAATATTCTATCACATTCATATACTGTAATTTGTTTAGCCATTTCTCAATAATATTTTGCTACTAAGAAAACAGCTGCTATAAACATTTTTGTATGGATTGGTCCTTCTCTTTCTTTGATCCCTTTGGGATATTATATGCCCACTAGTAATATCATTGGATCAAAGCCACAGTTTACTGGCCTTTGGTACACAGTTCCTAATTACTTTCCAGACTGGTTGCACCAATTCACAGCTCCACCAACAATGCATTAGTGTCTTTCCTCACAGCTTCCCCAACATTTGGTATTTTCCTCTTTTGTTGTCTTTCTGGTTTCTCTGGCTTCCTTCAAGTCTCAGCTAAAATCCTACCCTCTTTTAGGTAAAACATAACTTGTTTGTACTTAGTCATTTGCTTGTTATCTTTCCCATTAGACTATGAGCTCCTTGAAAATAGGGGCTCATTTTCTTTCATTTTGTGTTTTTGTCTTCATTTTCTTTGCATCTCCTTTCATTAGCACAGTGCCTGGCACATAGTAGGTCCTTAATAAATGCTTATTGACTGACATGGAACCTCAGAGTTGATTTAATTTGTATGTCTCTGTTAGTGAATTGGAACTTTAAAAAAAATATTGTTGTTGTTAGCTTGGATTTGTTCTGTTGAAAGCTGCCTATTTATATCTTTTGATCGTTTATCAATCAGCAAATGGTTCTTTTTTTTATAAACTGGAATCAGTTTCGTATATATCATGGATATGAGATCTTTATCAGGAAAACTGGCCGCAAAGATTTTTTCCCCCAGTTGCCCATTTCCTTCCCAATTTTAATTGCATTGGTTTTATTCATGTTAAAACTTTACAATTTTATGTAATAAAAACCTCCCATTTTATCTCCTATGAGCTTCTTTATCATTTGTTTGGTCATGAATTTTTACCCTATCTTCAGGTTAGCAAGCTAACTTCTGCTCGCTCCTGTGATTTGCTTATGATGTCACTTTTTGCGTCTTGAGTCACACACCCATTTGGAGTTTGTTTCTGTATATGGTATGAGATGGTGGTTTATACCATTTTCTGCCAGGCTGCTTGCCAGTTTCCTCAGTAGTTTTGTCAAATAATGAGTCCTATTGAGTTACCCCAATGCCTGAATTGACCCCTGCAGATTGAAGATATTTGCAGAAAAATCAGTCAGCCTTTTGCAAAACTTGAATTCACACTCCAGCTGATCTTTCTTCATTACCTTGCATTCTGTCTGGGTCATTCTTGGTGAGGAGAGGGCACGCCTACGACTGGGCCCTTTGCTTCTCTTGGGAATAATGTCTTGGGTCATAGTATCATCAGGCTAGAGCTCAAAGGGACCCCAGAGGCTATATGTTTGTTCCAAAGCCAGTATTTTGCAGGTGAGAAAACTGAGATCCAGGGAGGTTGGGACTTGCCCATAATTACACAAGTAAATGTCAGAGACAGGATGTCAAAGATGCTTGATAACTGATCCAGGAAGAACACCTCCTCCCCTCCAGCCCCCACCCTCAGTAGAGATCTATAGAAAAGCTTCTCCTACCTCTTTTAGAAGCACACTGCTTGGAGGCTTTACCAGTTCTCTTTTGCACATGTAGCAAGGAAAAGATGAGGGTTTCTCTCCTCTTTCCTTCCACCACACTACTATTGTCAGTTAAAATC